ACTGTCACCTGCCCAATCCCGTCAGTAAGTTACCCTGAATAAAACTTGGTGTAAACTGTGTAGAGTGGCTGGCTTCATATTCCAGGGCCAAAGTGCCCTCTCAGTTTGGAAGATACTATTCTGTGTCTCCCTCTCTCTCCGCTCCTCCCCTACTCGTGCTCTGTCTCTCTCTGTCTCAAAAATAAAATAAAACAAAAGGAAGATACTGTAGTGTCCCTCCTCTATCTTCTGACAGTGTTGGCCTTTGGCAAAGGGAACTAGATTAGAAGAAAGGGATAGGAGGGAAGCTGATCACTTATAGATACCTATTGTATTATCTGAATTACCTACCGTATGTATGTTTTTCTTTCTTTTTTCTTTAAATTTTTTTAATGTTTTATTTATTTCTGAGAGAGAGAGAGACAGCATGAGCAGGGGAAGGTCAGAGAGAGGGGGAGATACAGAATCTGAAACGGGCTCCAGGCTCTGAGCTAGCTGTCAGCACAGAGCCTGATGCGGGGCTCGAACCCACGAACCGTGAGATCATGACCTGAGCCGAAGTCGGACGCTTAACCGACTGAGCCACCCAGGCGCCCCGTATGTATGTTTTTCTTCTTCATACTTCAAATTTCAAATTTCAAAACTTTTTTAGAAGCAAAATCTTCCAATGATCATTCCCATTTAATAAGTACTTACCATTTCACAGGCAGTGCTAAACTCTTAACTAGTTATACTCTCACTGAACTTCATATGAGATAAGCATTTTATTAGCCTTATATCACTTGAGAAAACCAAGGCACAGAAGAATAAGGGGTACCTGGGTGGTTCAGTCAGTTGAGCGACCGACTCTTGATTTCAGCTAGGTCATGATCTCACAGTTTCAGGAGTTTGAGCCCTGTGTTGGGCTGTGCACGCTGACTGTACATGGAACCTCTTACGATTCTCTCTCTCCCTTTTTCTCTCTCTGCCCCTTCCCTGCTTGGTCTCTCTCAAAATAAATAAATCAACTTAAAAAAAACAAAAGAGTAACTATTCAAGTTACTTTGACTGGCTCCAATATTCTATGTTACCATCTTTTAGATTTTTTTTTTCATGATACTCACAGAATGACATAATGTTGGTAGTGAATGGTCCAAGAAAGACTGCTCAGAGCCTGCTAATGGGTAATGACATTTTAAAAATTCCAAGTGCTAACTGACTCAGTAATCAAAAAACCCAAAAAAACCAAAGCCCTGGACTAGATGGCTTCACAGGCAAATTCTACCAAACATGTGAAGAGTTAATATCTATTCTTCTCAAACCATTCCAAAAAATAGAAAAGGAAAGAAAATTTCCAATTCACTCTATGAGGCTAGCATTATTACTTTGATACCAAAGCTAGATAAAAATACCATTAAAAAAGAGAACTACAGGGGCGCCTGGGTGGCTCAGTCAGTTAAGCATCCGACTTCGGCTCAGGTCATTATCTCATGGTTTGTGAGTTACAGCCCTCCGTCGGGCTCTGTGCTGACAGCTCAGAGGCTCGAGCTCTGTCCTGTCTCCCTCTTTCTGCCTCTCCCCTGCTCGTGCTCTCTTTCTCTCTCAAAGAATAAATATTAAAAAAAAAAATTTTTTTTAAACAAAGAACTACAAGCCAATATCCCTGACAAACACAGATGCAAAAATTCTCAACAAAATACTAGCAAATTGAATTCAACAATACATGAAGCAAATCATCAACCACGATCAGGTGGGATTAAGTCTGGGCTGCCAGGATGATTCAGTATTTCTAAATCAATCAATGTGATGTATCACATCAGTAAGAGAAAGGTTAAGAACTACATGATCCTTTCAATAGATGTAGAAAAAGCATTTGACAAAGCACATTAAACAAAGCAGGTTGAGAGGGAACATACTTCAACATAATAAGGCCATATATGAAAAACCCACAGCTAATATCATCCTTAATGGGGAAAAACTGAGCTTTTCCCCTAAGGTCAGGAATTAGACAAGCATGTCTATTCTTGACACTTTTATTCAACATAGTTCTAGAAGTCCTAGAAACAGCAAAAAGAAATAAAAGGTATCTAAATCAGTAAAAAGTAAAACTCTCACTGTTTGCAGATGACATGACACCCTATATAGAAAACCCTAAAGACTCCACCAAACCTGCTAGAACTGATAAACGCATTCAGTAAAGTTGCAAGATACAAAATCAACATACAGAAATCTGTTGCATTTCTATACACCAATACTGAAGCAAGAGAAAGAGAAATTAAGGAATCAATCCCATTTACAAATACACTAAAACAATAAGATACCAGGAATAAACCTAACCAAAAAGGTGAAAGACCTATACTCTGAAAACTATAAAACACTGAAGAAATAAACAAAATAACACAAAGAAATGGAAAGTCATTCCATGTTCATGGGTTAGAAGAACAAATATTATTAAATGTCTCCATTTACTGCCTACCCAAAGCAGTCTATACATATGCAATCCCTACCAAAACACCAATAGCTTTTTTTTTTTTTTTACAGAGCTAGGACAAACAATCCTAAAATCTGCAGGGAACCACAAAAAAAACCCAAATAGCCAAAGCAACCTTGAAAAAAAACAAAGCAGGAGGCATCACAATTCTGGACTTCAAGTTACATTACAAAGCTGTAGTAATCAAAACAGTACAGCACTGGCACAAAAATAGACATAAAGATCAAGAGAACTGAATAGGAAATCCAGAAATGAACCCACAACTATATGGCCAATTAATCTCTGACAAAACAGGAAGAACATCTAATGGGAAAAAGGGTCTTCAACAAATGGTGCTGGGAAAGCTGGATAGCAGCATGCAAAAGAATGAAACTGGACCACTTTCTTACATCACACACAAATATAAATTTAAAATGGATGATGGGGAGCCTAGGTGGCTCAGTTGGTTAAGCATCCAACTTTGGCTCAGGTCATAATCTCACGGTTTGTGTGTTCAAGCCCTGCATCAGGCTCTGTGCTGTGCTTTTTTTTTTTTTTTTTAATGGATGAAAGACCTAAACATGAGGTCTGAAACTGTAAAAATTCTAAAAAAGAACACAGGCAGTAATTTCTTTGACATCATCTGTAGCAATTTCTTTCTAGATAGGTCTCCTGAAGCAAGGGAAACAAAATCAAAAATGAACTATTGGGACTACAACAAAATAAAAAGCCTCTGCATAGCAAAGCAGACAATCAGCAAAACTAAAAGGCAATCTACAGAATGAAAGAAGGTATTTGCAAATGACTTAAACATAAAGGGTTGGTATCCAAAATATATAAAGAATTTATAAAACTCAACACCCAAAAAACCACATAATCCAATTAAAAAATGGGCAGAAGACATGAATAGACATTTTCCCAAAAAGACTACAGATGACCAACAGACACAAGATGCTCATCAGCACTTATCATCAGAGAAATGCAAATCAAAAGGATAATGAGATGTCACACCACAACTGTCAGAATGGCTAAATCAACAAACAAGAATCAAGAGGTGTTGGTGAGGATGTGAACAAAAAGGAACTCAGTATGGAAAACAGTATGGAGGTTCTTCAAAAAATTAAAAATACGGGCACCTGGGTGGCTTAGTCAGTTAAGCATCTGACTCTTGATTTCACCTCAGGTCATGATCTCACAGTTCCTGAGATGGAGCCCCACATCGGGCTCCATGATCACAGCGCAGAGCCTGCTTAGGATTCTCTCTCTCCCTCTCTGCCTCACTCCTCCACTTGTGCTCTCTCTCTCAAAATAAATAAACCTAAAAAAAAAAAAAAAGGGTTAAAAATATAACCACCTTGGGACACCTAGGTGGCTCAGCTGGTTAAGCATCCAACTTCAGCTCAAGTCATGATCTCATGGTTCATGAGTTTGAGCCCTGCATTAGGCTCTACGCTGGCAGTACAGAGCCTGCTTGGGATTCTTGCTCTCTCTTCTTTCTCTGCCCCTCCCCTGCTCATGCTTTCTCCCTCTAAATAAATAAATAAAAACTTTTAAAAAGCTTATGATCCAGCAATTGCACTACTGCATATTTACCCAAAGAATACAAGAATAATATTCAAAGGGATACATACACCCCCATGCTTATGGCAGCATTATTTACAACAGCCAAGATACAGAAGCAGTCCAAGCACCCACTGCCTGATAAACAGATAAAAAAGATGTGGTATGTATATTTATATACATGTATACACATATAATGAACTATTATTCAGCCATAAGAAAGAATGAAATTTTGCCATTTGCAACGAGATGGATGGAGCCAGAAAGTATTATGCTCAGTGAAGTCAGTCAGTCAAAGAAAGACAAATACTGTATGATTTCACTCACAGGCAGAATTTAAGAAACAAGTAAAGGAAATAAAATAAGAGGGAGAAATCAAAAAGAGACTCTTAATTATAGAGAACTGATGGTTACCAGAGGGGAAGCGGTAAGGGGATGGATTAAATAGGTGATGGAGATTAAGGAGTACTTGTGACAAGTACAGAACAATGTAGGCTAAGTGTTGATTCATTACATCGTACACCTGAAACTAATACATTAGTTATATATAACAGTTAACTAACTGGAATTAAAATAAAAACATAAAACATAAAAACAAAAGAAAAAATAAAACAAAACCATAATATAAAACAAAATCACAAAACAAAAACAAAAAACCCAAGTGATGCCAGACCTAAGGACAAAGAATGAACGGCAGGCTAAAAAAACAAAAAGTTGATGAGGGAAATCCTCAGGTAAAATAAGAGAATAAAGTAAGGAGATGGGCAGCTACCGGAGTCAATTCATTAAACCAAAATATTAGAAAGATCTAGAGCAGTTTTTCCCAAATAGTTCCCTCCATCTTCCCCTCCTTCAGTCTAACTCCTAGGGTCCAGGGTACAAAATCAGAGGCGTTAACAGTGTCCACAGCAGAAACTGGGCTGGGAAACAACACAGAACAGTCTGTAGGGAAAATCCCAGAAACACTAACCAAGACAAAAGTGACGTAAAAGAAGAGAGACAAAGGGACCACTTTACTTTCGGCAAATTTAATGACTGTAAGAGCTGTTCACATAACAGCAAAGAGACACATTTTCCATTTGACACAAAGTTGCTTCACCACCTGCAGCCTGTCTCTAGAGCGTCATTACCTCTTTCATTAGTGACCAGTCCTATCTCCCTTCCTGTCAGGAAGGACAGCCATGTCAACTCTAAGGCCGTTTACTAAGGGCGGCAACATGCTGAGGAGTCCTTCAGGGTGGTCCTGCAGAGAACATGTCCTTTAAGTGTCTGAGAGCTGGCGGACGTAATCTGAAAGAAAACCAGTCAGAAGAAGACAAAGTAAGCAGAACTGCACTTGAAGGACTTACGTGGAGCCTCCAGAGGAGAGACCACAATAGAGATCTAACAGAGGTGGTGTCAGGCCAGCAGACTGTATGGTTCCCATGTTCCCCCCATCCTGGAAGGAAGAGATATCTAACATCTAATGCAATGGGAATATGTATCATTTAAGAAGTCTAAAAAAAAAACTGCTACTTCTCCCTTCTCTTGAAAGATGACTCTTCTCCAGTACCAACCCTAAGTTTCTGGTGTGGGCTGCCCATCACAGACCCTGCCCTCCTAGCCCCAGGGATAAGCTTTGATCCAGGCTTACCAAATTCTTCCTTAAGATATTTATGGCCCAAATTTGGTGAGAAAAGCTGTTTTTCCTCCCTAATGGAGAGCTAAAAGCATGTGGCCCCAAAGGAGATTTCAAGAGAAGACTGAAAACAAGTATGTAAACAAAGATGACATCAGGCACTGAAAAGTGTTAAGAAGATAAAATGGGCTAATGTCATAACTAATGTTAAGAGCAAGGCAGAGGAAACCTGCTTTGGCTTCCCTAAGGAGAAGGCTTCTCAAGGAGATGACATTTCAGAGAGAAACTGAGCAGTCATGTAAAAATCCAGAGCCTCTCAAGCAACACAACATGTGCAAAGTCTCTCACTAGAACTTGGTCTGAAGGGTAAAAAAGGACACCAAGGCTGGAGGAGAGAGGATTAAGAAGAGTGGAGGGGACACGAGGTTAGAAAGGTGGGTGGGACAGATCATATAAGGCCTTAGACACCGTGCACTTCATGCTGGCTCCAATGAGGACCCACTAGAGGGCTTAAATAGAGGAAGGAGTGATCTGATTTAGACAGACCACCTCGACAACGGTGGTGCAGACAGACTAGAGGAGGGCAAGAATGGAAGTGGGGAGGGGTGCCTGAGTGGCCTGAGTTGGAACATTCAACTTTGGCTCAAGGCATAGTCTCACGGATTGTGAGTTTGAGTCCCACATTGGGCTTTGTGCTGACAGCTCAGAGCCTGGAGCCTGCTTCAGATTCTGTGTCTCCCTCTCTCTCTGCCCCTCCCCCACGCAGGCTCTGTCTGTCTGTCTGTCTCTCTCTGTCTCTCAAAAATAAAATTAACATTAAAAAAAAAGAATGGAAGTGGAGAATCTAACGCCTTAGGAATTCTCATGCACTGCTGGTCGGAGTGTAATAAGGTACAATTACTTTTGGCTAGTTCTATTATACACACCCTAGGACCCAGCAATTCTAAGCCATATACCCAACAAAATGAATACCTATGTGCACTAAAATCCATGTACAGAAATACTCATAGCAATTCAATTCGTAACAGCTCTAAAATGGAAACAATCACAATGGCCATCAACAGTACAATACATAAACAAACTGTGGGTACATTCGTATAACATGGATATATAATCACAAATGCAATGCACAACACAAGACTGAGGATAAGAAGACAAGCACCAAAAATACATGTTGTATGACTCAATTTTATAACAAAAATAGGCAAAACTGAACAATGGTATCAGAAATTAGGATGTAGGAAAAAGAAGTAACTAGTAGGAACAGAAGGGTCTCTGAGGTTCTAAAAATATTCTATTTCTGATCCAGTAGTAGTTATATATGTAGAGTCACTTTGTGATAATTCATCAAGTAGTACACTTATAATATGGGCAATTTTCTACATTTATGACATGCTTCAATAAAATAATTCCTCTTTAAAATACAGAAGCAAAAAATCATGAAGAAGGCTGCTGAAATCTCCAAACCTAGAAATGGTGGTGGCTTGGAGGTGGAAAGAAATGGGCAGGTTTGAGATATATCCCATAAGTGAGCTGAAACAGATGTACAGGAAAGTGAGTATCTAGGACAAGTCCTATATTTTTGGCTTGAGCAACTGAGTGTTTCATTTACTGGGATGGGGAGGGCTTAAAAAGAAGAAAATTACAGTAAAGAATTCATTCTATTTTGGCCACATTAAGTTTAAGATGCAAGAGAGAAAGGATATACATGCAAATCTCTTGAGAGGATGAGAAGGGATAGAGAGGAAAACATAAGGGGCAGGGAAACAGAACATGGAAATGTTTTCTATAGTCGCATATAAGCAGACAGCATGTATAGGTAGGGAAGTGAGTGGGCTGCTAGAAATAATGAGACAATGAGGTTTCCATCTGTTTGTATCTCTTTTCTCTATGAAATACAAGGCAAAGACAACAGCTGAGACCTGGGTATGGATAGGTGAGTAAAGATTTAAGGAGAGGGGTGCCTGTGTGGCTCAGGTGGTTAAGTGTCCGACTCTTGGTTTTGGTTCGGGTCATGATCTCACAGTTTGCGAGTTCAAGCCTCACATCAGGCTCTGCACTGATGGTGTGAAGCCTGCATGAGATTCTCTCTCTCTCTCCCTCTGTCTCTGCCCCTCCCTGCTTGCACTCTCTCTCTCTCTCAAGATAAATAACGTTAAAAAAAAAAAAAAAAGATTTAAGGAGAAAGAGTAGAAAAGTCAATTTACTAGGGAAATATAGTAGGATCGAGATTTCAAGGCCATCCTGAGTGCTTATGTGAATTTTATGGTCATGAATTTGAACTGAACACAGCTGGGTTCATGTGGCGGAGATGGTTACTTGTATCCCAACATGTCTCCTCTTCTTCCTCAGTAACAGAAATTGTAGTTTTTAGCAGGGCATCCGATCATTCAGAATGAAGACCACACTTACTGGCTTCTTTGCAGCCTGGTGTGATATGTTACAGTGTGTGGAACTCTGGCAAATTGCCCTGAAAGGAAGGGGGCATGCCTTTCCCCCTATTCTTCCTCCTTCCCACTAGTCAGAATATGAACATGATGGCTGGAGCAACCGTCTAGGGTCACGGGGTAACCTTAAGAACTGAGACCACACCCAGCAGAACAAAAGATAGGAGCCTGGACCCCTGATGATCATGAAACCACCACAATCACCAGTTCTGGACCTTCCATATCCAGATTTTTATGTAAACGAGAACCACTATATTTAAGCCACTGTATGTCAGGTTTTCAATCACCATCATCGGACCTAACCTACATAATACAGATTACCTGTGTGCTTTTCCCTAACAATGTTCAGCAGCTAGGGTGCACATGGAGAAAAGGCAGATAACCACTTTTGCCAGGGCTGGGGTTTAGCCAAACAAGCACCAGAGCAAAAAGGGAGAAAATAAAATGAAATTTGGGGCAGCTGGCTGGCTCAGTCCATGGAGCATCCAACTCTTGACCTTGGGGTTATGGATTCAAGACCCATGTTGGGTACAAAGATTACTTTAAAAAAACAAAAAACGAAAAAACCCTTAAGGAATGAGAACAGCAGAGAGGAGCAACAGAGCGAGCCAACAGAGCCTCCGTTTCCACGGCTCCTCCTTCATCTTGGTCCTTCCACTAAATCTTACCTATGGGGTTTACGTCACTTGGGAACAAAAACGGAGTACCAAGGAACACAGGATCACTTTTCTACCTTCCTTGACAAATGGAATATTTCCAGTATAGAAAAGAATATCACACTAACAACAAAACCCAGCCTACCAACCTCATCCCCCTTTTCAAGTAACCCTTAGCTACACTAAAAAGAATTAGGAGGAGGTATGGGAAAGCATCTAAAAACCAAAGATGCAAATACTGAAAAGACAAGAGAAATAAGCCAACAAGGCCATGATCCCCCATCCTCACCCCAAAAAAAGAAAGATTGGAGAAGCCGATGAAGGATTATATCCAAATCAATCACATTGTTGCCTAGTAGCAATTATTCCACTTAGGAAATTCTTAAAGTAAGACAAAGCCCAGTCAAAACAGAGCCAGAAGGGAGTAGGATCAAAGTCCCCAACCACTAGGAGCACCTGGGTGACTCAGTTAAGCGTCCGACTTCAGCTCAGGTCATGATCTCATGGTTCATGAGTTCGAGCCCCGCCTCAGGCTCTGTGCTGACAGCTAGCTCAGAGCCTGGAACCTGCTTCAGATTCTGTGTCTCTCTGTCCCTCTATCTCTCGCCCGCTTGCACTCTGTCTCTCTCAAAAATTTTTTTAAAGTCCCCAACCAGCAAATTGCCTGTTTTAAGTTTTTATTAGAAAGACAGAACATCTCAGCAGTAGTAAAATTTCCCGGCCAATCCAAAGAAGTTACATGCCTTCTTCAACTGTAAGCCATGGACCAGGGCCCCCATGACAAGGCAGATGTGACAGTAAGGACAAAAAATAGAGGGTGAGGAATGAAGGAATAAGGGAAAGGATATAACACTGATCAGAATCAGCAGAAAAAGAACTGCCCTCTCTCTGTCTCTTCCACAGATTTTTCAGAGCTCAGTGTGGGAGAAGCAGCTTTGTTTCTATCTCAGCAGTATGTGTTCCGCCAGCCTCCAGTTTGGGGGTAAAGTGGACATGAGGACCAGAAGGAAAGGAAGATGGCAGTAACAGACCTGTTAGACCCTGTAGGGTGAGAAGAAAAGGAGGAAGGAAGAAAGTACAGGAAGGAAGGAAGAAAGGGGGAAAGAAAGAAGAAGAAATCCCATGGCCATTCATCTTGATCTGCTAGTAAGAGAAGTGAGGGTACCTAGGGCGTCAGAGCGACGATCAACTCACTCAGAATCACTTACACTTCCTAGGCTTTCTGCAGCCTTTATGCTACCGTGTACTCCAATCTCACCAAATTACTTTCTATGACAGATGAAAGGAGAGGAAAAACAAGAAGGCACTAGGAGCAGTTTAAAATTCAACTCAAGGTGCCCTTCCATTATTCAGGCTGAGAAGAGATTTTTATTTTACTAAAGAATTTTTCCTGGGAGCAGCTTCATGGCTCAGTCTGACTTCAGCTCAGGTCATGATCTCATAGTTCATGAGTTCAAGTCCCACACTGGGTGAATTTGAACCCCACTTCAGGTGAACACAAGCCCCACTTTAGGTAAGCATAAGCCCTGCTTCAAGTGAGCCCTGTTTCCTTCTTGCTCCCTCTCTCTCTCTCTCTGCCCCTTGATCACTTGCACTTGTACCTTCTTGCAGAAAAAAAAAAAAGAATTTCTCCTGGAAGAAATTTCATTCCCCCAAATTATCCAACCCAATATCCATTTCACAATGCAAGGCAAAAGCCCAAAAGGACACCTTACCTTTACTAGCACATAGTCCCCAGGTTGAGCTCTAACCTTGACCTCAGAGTTATTAACATCCTCCATCTCTACATTAGGGAAGATCACTTTAAGGTTTCCATCATTCCGGCCACACAGGTCAGTGGTAGAGCGTTTACTGTGCTGCAAAAAGAATAGAAGAGAGTTTATGAATCTGTCACAATCATCAGTCTGGGAGGGCAGAAATTGTGCCTTCTTTGTCTCAGATCCCTAAGGGTCTTACTCATACAGCATTCCTTAATCAAGGAATCACTTAAGACTACAAAGGGGCACCTGCTCTGGCTCAGTCGGTGAAGCATGGAACTCTTGATCTTGGGGTTGTGAGTTCGAACCCTGTGTTGAATGCAGACTTTAAAAAAAAAAAAAAGACTACATGTTTACTGCCAATTTTTTTTATAATGTTTTATTTATTTTTTAGAGAGAGACAGAGACAGCATGAGCGGGGGAGGGTCAGAGAGAGAGGGAGACACAGAACCCGAAACAGTCTCCAGGCTCTGAGCTAGCTGTCAGCACAGAGCCTGATGCAGGGCTCAAATCCATGAACCGTGAGATCACGACCTGAGCTGAAGTCAGACACTTAACCAACTGAGTCACCCAGGCGCCCCCTAAACAAATTTTCACTTTATCCAGTCTCATAGTAAATACTCAGGAATGTTCCAGGGTTGTTTGGCCTGGGTTACTACCCCCCAGTGATAGGCAGACATGAAGCCAGAGTCTCCAGCACAAAATACCAAAGACAGGGTCAGGAGAATAATAAAACCAGTGTGATGGTATTAACTTCTAGCATATATACAAGTTTTTCTCTTCCAGCCATGATGTGACAAGAATCAAATTTAACCTCTGGCCTTAACCAAAAACTGGACAAAATATATGAAATCACTATTTTCAGATACTGAACAACAGACTGTGCAAGACTGTGAAGCTGAGAAAAGGAAAACAAGTGAGATGAGTCCTCCATTTTGTGAGAAGGCATGTGTCAGACGAGGGCATGCCAAGCAGGGAGGAAGATCTTAAGGCACAGCATAGTGGTTCTCTCTGGATTTAGGAAAAAGAGATCAGAGTTCAGGGAGCCTGCAATAGGTAGAAATTGTGGAGCAAGTTCTAGAGAAGAGGGACCTAAGCACAAAAAGAGCTATAGAAAGCTATAGAAATATGCACAGGGATCCCTGGACTCTTTGCTGGATACCAACACATGTTTGCATAGGGTGAAACTCCATGAAGTCAGACAAAGAAAGTAACTGGGAACTGTCAGTAGATGGGTTTCCAGAGCTCATGCAGGGCTGAGAATCACAACTTATCACTGGACAGTCCTCACTGATTCCTTGGGACATGCAGTACTAACTCCAGAAAAGCCATACCTTGGTAATGAGGTCAAACTATCCCTGGGATAAGAAGCGCTTTCCTAACAAAACTAGAAATTGAGCCTTGATAGGTTCAAACTGAACTATAAGTAATATAACCACCTATCAGAACAAAGCCCAACACAAAATCCAGATTTCAAAAATAACACAACGTCAAATGTCCAATCAAAAATCACTAGATATACCCAGAAGCAAAAAATGTAACCTATAATCAGGAGAAAAGTTTTATCAATAGAAACAGACCAAGAAATGATAGCAGTGATGGAATTATCACAAAAATAATAAATCATTTTTTATGATTAAATTCAAAGGAAACTAAGTTTCAAAGGAAAACAAGAGGGGCGCCTGGGTGGCTCAGTCAGTTGAGCATATGACTTTAGCTCAGGTCATGATCTCGCAATTCGTGGGTTCAAGCCCTGCATCAGGCTCTGTGCTGACAGCTCAGAGCCTGGAGCCTGCTTCAGATTCTGTGTCTCCCTCCCTCTCTGCCCCTCCCCTGCTTGTGCTCTGTCTCTCCAAAATAAATGTTGGAAAAAAAAATTTTTTTTTAAACAAAAGAAAACAAGAATACAGAAGTAGAAGGTATTTAAAAAGAACTAAATGTATCTTATACAGATGAAAAATGTAATATCTAAATTAAAAATTCAATAGGTAATAGCAGATTACTCACTGCCCAAGGAAAAAACAGTGAATCTGAAGACAGAGCCAAAGAAACTATTCAGAACAACCCACAGAGATATATAAAGAAAAAAAATGAACAACCACAATGACCTACAGAAAAACATTTTTTTATGTGGTTGGACATATATGTAGCTGGAGTCATGGAAGGAGGGGAGAAAAGGGGGGTGGGGCAGGAAGCAGGAGAAGTACAGAAAAATTATCTGAAGGGGCTCCTGGGTGGCTCAGCTGGTTAAGCATTCGACTCTTGGTTTCGACTCAGGTCATGATCTCATGGTTTTTAAGATGGAGCCCCACATCAGGCTCCACCCTGACAGTGCAGAGCCTGCTTGGGATTCTCTTTCTCCCGCTTTCTCTACTCCTCCCCGCCCCCCATCTAAATAAATAAATAAGTAAACTTAAATATATATATACATCTCAAGAATAACAGATGAAAAATTTCCAAATTTGATGAAAATTATAAATCCCCCAACTAAGAAGCCTCAACAAATCCCAAAGAAAACACAAAGGTATAAACACAAAGAAAGCCATGCCAAGACACATCAAATTTCTAAAAACAGTGATACAGCAAATATTTTTAAAAAGCAACTAGAGAAAAAAGGTATTTTATGCATAACAGGAAGAAAGATAAGGATGACTGCAAACTTCCTGTCAGAACCAAGTTAAGTCAGAAAACAACAGAATGATACCTTTAAAATATCAACTTAAAATTTGACACCTAATGAAAAAACATTTTTAAGAATAAGTGAAAAGAAATTTCTTTCAGACAAACAAAAGATGAGAGGATTCATCACAAAAAGATCTGCATTACAAGAAATGTTAAAGGCAGTTTTTCAAGCACAAAAATAACGATACCAGATAGAAACCTGAATGTACACAAGGAATGAAGAATGGTGGAAGCAGTAAATGAGTGAGTACACAGAGAAGACTTTTTTCTTGTTTATAAAAAAGCTTTTTTAAAGTAACTGAGTATTGTACAGTCAGTGATGGACTGACGGCGGTCCCTCCTTTGTGGGCCTCTCATAGTGAACCCGTGACAGAGGAGTGTACAGCCCTGAACCACTGCCCAGCCTCCTGACTGATGGGTTATGAACACTGAAGGGGGGCTCAGCTGGTTAGGCATCAGACTCTTGATCTCACAGTTCGTGGGTTCAATCCTCACGTCAGGCTCTGCACTAACAGCACAGAGCCTGCTTGGGATTCTCTCACTCCCTTTCTCTCTGTCCCTCCCCAATTCACGATCGTTTTCTCTCTCTCAAAATAAATAAATAAGCTAAAAAAAAAAAAAAATCGGGGCACCTGGGTGGCTCAGTGGTTAAGGGTCCAACTCAGTTTCAGCTCAGGTCAAGATCTCACAATATATGAGTTCGAGCCCCACATCAGGCTCTGCATTGACAGTGTGGAGTCTGCTTGGGATTCTCTCTCCCTGTCTCTGGCCCTCCCCTGCTCAAACACACTGTCAAAATAAGTAAATAAACAAAAATAAATAAATAAAGACAAAAGGTTTAAAAAGAATCCACTGGGGACAATAAAGATGAAACAAGATTAGCCATGATTAACACTGTATTGACAGTTGTTGAGGTTGGTTAACGGGTATGTGGGCATTCATTATACTGTTCTCTCTATATCTATATATGTTTTAAATCCCCCATAATTAAAAAGTCTGTTGTTTAAAGGCTCTGGAACAAAACAGCCCTGAGTCAAATTCTGGCTCCGCCACTCGAGCTGTATGACTTTTAGAAAGTTATTCTACTTCTCTAAGTCTCTGTTTCTTCATCTCATAAAAGGGCTAATAATTAGCACTACTTCCAAACACTGTGGTGGGACTCAATGTGCCAATGACATAAAGTGCACAGTTCCTGGCAGTCAGTGAATGCTCAGTATACAGGAGTTATCATCATCTTCTCTGCCACTCTGGAGATTAGCAACCTGATGTTTTAAACTGGCCAGGATTAGAGGAAAGAAAGACTCTTCTTAGAAAAGTAAAGACTCTCCCAACTACTGGCCTTGAAAAATACATTTATTCTCTAGCCCCAAGTGAGGCATGGCTTATGCTAGATGCATAAGAAAGAATCTTATTTTGGTTTATTTAGTTATAATAGGTTTGTTGTAAGGCTGATGAAGTCAGGGACACAGAATAGTAAACTTTGAGTACTTGTTCATTCAAAAGACAAGTACCCTATTCTGTGCCAGACTCCATGAGGAGGGCTGGGAATAAAATAAGACCTAATTCTTGGGGCGCCTGGATGGCTCAGTCGGTTAAGCGTCCGACTTCGGCTCAGGTCATGATCTCACGGTTCGTGTGTTCGAGCCCCGTGTCGGGCTCTGTGCTGACAGCTAGCTCAGAGCCTAAAGCCTGTATTCAGATTCTGTGTCTCCCTCTCTCTCTGACCCTCCTCTGCTTACACTGTCTCTCTCTCTCTCTCTCAGAAATAAATAAAACATTTAAAAAAAAAGACCTGATTCTTACTGGATAAAATGTAGACTGCTAATAGACACATACATATCTCCAGAATCACAGCTGACACCCTAAATTACAAGGCATTTAGTGAGGCAAAAACCTCTTGGGGTATTACACTAGCTCAGAATCACCACCCATCAGACAACTGCCAGTCTAGACCACAGGAATATCTTCGAGCCCAAGATGGGCTGACCAAGTACCCCTCTTGGAAATCTGAGCTGGAGCTGAGAGACACAACTGTGATCTGTGAATAACGAGAAGTATAACACGTAAACATAGGACCTACACGGCAGCTGTACTCTGCAATAAAGATGAAGCAGCAGGAAACTCTGGTCTAAGGAGACAAGAAAGTATGAGCTTGAAGGTAGTCTTTCTAGACACCTGTAGTACTCCTGCCCTTGCGCTCCACAAGATACCCCTAAGGTCTTTTACAAAAGAATTCTTTTTGGCTTAGGCTGAATGCCTTGAAGAAATTTCTCACTGTTACTCACAACTAAAGAGTCCTAACAAACACAAATACCAGGCAACTGGTGGCTTTGATGCTACCATATCCTGAGACATGAAATAGGACTCTCCCTTCTCAATCCAGGTCTTAGGAGTCACAGAAAGGGCCCATCTCTCTCTTTCCCCTCCTCTCCAATGGCTGCAGCATGTAGCTTCATAAAAGGTCAGGCTCCCAAACTGACCACTTATTCCATGTATTTAGTGTTCTAACTGATGGTTAGGTTCCCTGGCTTGACCACTGATGCCTCCACAAACCCCAAACTTTTTGAAATACAGTACACTTCTAAGAAAATGTGATTTTAAAAAAGGATTGAAGGGGTGCCCAGCTGGCTCAGTGGTAGAGCATGCAACTCTTGATCCTGGGGTTGTGGGTGAGCCCCACATTGGGTGTAGAGATTACTTAAAAGAAAATAAAATATTGGGGCGCCTCAATGGCTCAGTCATTTAAGCGTCTGACTCTTGATTTCAGCTCAGGTCACAATCTCATGGTTTGTAAGACTAAGCCCCTCATCAGGCTCTGTGCTGACAGTGCAGAGCCTGCTTGGGATTCTCTCTCTCCCTCTCCCTTTCTGCCCTTTCTCCACTCACACGCATGTATGCACAAACATACTCTCTCTCAAAATAAATAAACATTTTAAAAAATTAAAAAATAAAAAAGGATTAGAGACAATAAAATTGATTCTAAAACATACATACATAGGATACTGCTTCCAGAAAGATGGAGTAGACATACTTTTCTTTAATCTTTCTGCTGTTAAGTACAAAAATATCTTTCAAGAAAGAAGGAGAGGGATGCCTGGGGTAGCTCAGTCAGTTAAGCAGCTAACTTCAGCTAGGGTCATGATCGCACAGTTCATGAGTTCGAACCCCACATCTCTGCTGTTAGTACAAAGCCTGCTTTGGATCCTCTGTCTCCCCTTCTCTCGTCCTTCCCCCACACTCTCTCACTCTCTCTCAAAACTAAACAAACATTAAAATAAAAAAAAAAAAATGAAGGAGAAATCAAGACATTCTAAGATGAAGAAAAACAGAATCAGCTGCCAGAGTGTCTAAAAGAAGCTGTCTAAACAGAAAGGAAAAGATAAAAGAAGGAAGCTTGGAACATCAGAAAGGAAAAAAAAAAACAAAAAAAAAACCATAATGACATGATTACTTTTGTAGAAAATCCCAAAGAAACTGCCAAAACAATTCCTAGAACTAGTGAGTTCAGCAAAGTCACAGATTACAAGATAAACATACAAAATTCAATGTTTCTATACAATATAATGAACATCTAAAATTAAAAATACAATAGCAACTTTTTTCTTAAAAAAAAAAAAGCCACTTAGGTATAAATCTAACAAAATACATATAAGACCTGTATACTGAAAATTACAAAAACTCTGATAAAAGAAATCAAAGATTTCCATGCTCCAAGATAGGAAGAACAAATATTGTTAAAATGTCAGTACTCAGGCACCTGGGTGACTCAGTCAATTAAGCGTCGATTAAGCATCTGACTTCAGCTCAGGTCATGATCTCACAATTTGAGAGTTCAAACCCCGCATCAGGCTTTATGATGACAGCTCAGAGCCTGGAGCCTGCTTTGGATTCTGTGTCTCCCTCTCTCTCTGCCCCACCCCAATTCGCTCTCTCACTCTCTCTCTTGCAAAAATAAATAAACATTTAAAAAAAAATTTTTTTTAATATCAGTACTACCCAAAGCAATCTACATATTCATTGTAATAACTATCAAAAATGACATCAGCATTCTTCAAAGAGCTAAAACAAACAATCCTAAAATTTGTGTGGAACCAGAAAAGACCCCAAATAGCCAAAGCAATCTTGAAAAAAGAAAACCAAATCAGGAGGCATCATAATCCTGGATTTCAAGCTGTATTACAAAGCTGTAATCATCAAGACAGTACAGTACTGGCACAAGAACAGACACTCAGATCAATGGAACAGAATGGAGAACCCAGACATGGACCCACAAATGTATGGTAAACTAATCTTTGACAAAGTAGGAAAGAATATTCAATGGAACAAAGACAGTCTCTTCAGCAAGTGGTGCTGGGAAAACTGGACAGCAACATGCAGAAAAATGAACCTGGACCACTTTCTTACACCATACACAAAAATAAACTCAAAATGGATAAAAGATCTAAATGTAAGACAGGAAGCCATCAAAATCCTTGAGGAGAAAGAAAGCAGGCAAAAACCTCTTTGACTTTGACCACAGCAACTTCTTAGTCGACATATCTCTGGAGGCAAGGGAAACAAAAGCAAAAATGAACTATTGGGACCTCATCAAAATAACAAGCTTCCGCACAGTGATGAAACAATCAGCAAAACTAAAAGGCAACCAATAGAATGAGAGAAGATATTTGCAGATGAAATATCAGATAAAGGGTTAGTATCCAAAATCTATAAAGAATTTATCAAACTCAACACCTAAAAAACAAAGAATCCAGTGAAGAAATGGACAGAAGACATGAATAGACACGTTTCCAAAGAAGACATCCAGATGGCCAACAGACACATGAAAAGATACTCAACATCATTCATCATCAGGGAAATACAAATCAAAACCACAGTGAGATACCACCTCATACCTGTCAGAATGGCTAACATTAACAACTCAGGCAACAACAGATGTTGGTGAGGATGTGCATAAAGAGGATCCCTTTTGCACTGCTGGTGGGAATGCAAACTGGTGTGTCCAGTCTAGAAAACAGTATGGAGGTTGCTCAAAAAATTAAAAATAGAACTACCCTACAATCCAGCAAATGCACTACTAGGTATTTATCCAAGGGATACAGCTATGCTGTTTCAAAGGGGCACATGCACCCCAATATTTATAGCAGCACTATCAACAATAGCCAAAGTATGGAAGAAGCCCAAATGTCCATCAACAGATGAATGGATAAAGAAGATGTGGTGTGTGTACATACACACACAATGGACTATTACTCAGCAATCAAAAAGAATGAAATCTTGCCATTTGCAACCACGTGGATGGAACTAGAGGATACTATGCTAAACGAAATTAGTCAGTCAGAGAAAGACAAATATCATATGACTTCACTCGTGTGAGAACTTTAAGATACAAAACAGATGAACATAAGGGAAGGGAAGCAAAACTAATATAAAAACAGGGAGGGAGATAAAACATAACAGACTCTTAAATATAGAGAACCAACAGAAGGTTGCTGGAAGGGTTGTGGGAGGGGGGAAGGGATAAATGGATAGGAGGCATTAAGGAATCTACTCCTGAAATCATTGTTGCTGTATATGCTAACTAACTTGGATGTAAATTTTAAAAATAAATAGAAATTTTAAAAAGATATCAAAGATGATCTAAATAAAAGGGAGATATATTGGATTCTAAAACACAAAAAAACACTGGGGTGTCCAGATAGCTCAGTTAAGTATCCAACTCTTGATTTGGTCAGGCCATGGTTCAAGCCCAGTGTCTGATCTTGCACTGATAGCATGGAGCCTGCTGGGGATTCTCTCTCCCTCTCTCTCTCTCTCTGCCCCTCCCCTGTGTGCACACACGCTCGCTCGGTCTCTCTCTCTCCCCCTTCCCTCCCTCTCTCTCAAAAAATAAACAAACCATAAAAAGCAAAAAAAACAAATAAAAAAAAATATATACATATGACCTTACCCCCTCCACCAACACTAGCTGGGTACAACCCACAGAGGCCATGTTGGCTTTTGTTGCTTCTTCTCGAAAGACAGTAATAAGTTCCTCCAAACGCCTTAATTTTACCTCTTCTGGAACATCATCTTTCAGCCTGTGATATGCCCTGGTCTTCTATAAAAAAAAAAAAGAGAGAGAGATGGAGGTCACCAAGGACTCACAGAATCTTTTTTTCCCCTTCCATAGATTCCATTCTTAAGGTACAGAGGAGGACCAGGTTCATTCCACTTGCAAGTCACAGACATATGTACAAGAACCCAAGCCACACCAGGAGGGTTCTCTAGCTCTAAGAATATTCTAAGAGAAAAAAGTAACTATGCAATAAAGTCACATTTTTGCAAGGGTTAAATTCTAAATTTAGCCCATGAAAATCATAGATTCAAAGTTTCTTGATTATTTATAACATACAAATGTAACCTTTATACAAATGTAACATATACTAAATAACTCATGGACCAGGTTACTCAGCAACACTGTTTATAGACAAGACAAAAGATAAAAAGCAGCCTTAGGACGCCTGGGTGTCTCAGTCGGTTAAGCATCAGACTTCAGCTCAGGTCATGATCTCACGGTTCGTGGGTTCGAGCCCCGCATCGGGCTCTGTGCTAACAGCTCAGAGCCTGGAGCCTGTTTCAGATTCTGTATCTCCCTCTCTCTCTGCCCCTCCCCTGCTCGCACTCTGTGTTTCTCTCTCTCTCAAAAATAAATAAACATTTAAAATTAAAAAAAAAAAAGATAAAAAGCAGCCTAAACATTTACCAATAGTTTGTTAGTAAATGAATTATGCTTTATCTATGCACAGAAAACTGCACCACTATAAAAAGACTGATGATTCCATATGTATTGATATGCTTGCTCTCTAAAACATACTCTTAACAAAAATAAGATACAGATCAACATGTACAACTTTGGTATAAAAAGAATACATAAATTTGGGGTGCCTGGGTGGCTTAGTCGGTTAAGCATCCGACTTTCGCTTAGGTCATGATCTCGCGGTTCGTGGGTTCGAGCCCTGCGTCGGGCTCTGTGCTGACTGCCAGCTCTGAGCCTGGAGCCTGTTTCGGAGTCTGTGTCTCCCTCTCTCTCTGACCCTCCCCTGCTCACACTGTCTCTCTCTCTCTACTACAAATAAATAAAACATTTTAAAAAAATTAAAAAAAAAAGAATACATATATTTATAAATACATGAAATAACTCTGGAAGTTTACAGAAGAAATTCCTAAGAGTGGTGGCCTTCAGGGAAGGATACGAAAAACCAGGCAACCTGGGAGAAGGAGAAGAAGAACTTCTCACTGCATACTATTTTGAACTTTTGAATTTTATATAATGAGGTCGTGTTACCTAATCCAAAACATTTTTCAAAGGGAAACTTATCCTAGGGGCACCTGGGTGGCTCAGTCAGTTGACCATCCAATTTCAGCTCAGGTCATAATCTCACAACACAGAGCCTGCTTCAGATCCTCTGTCTCCCTCTTTCTCTGCCCCTCCCCCAATGGTTCTCTTTCTCTCTCTCTCTGTCTCAAAATAAATTTAAAAATTTCAAAAAAGTATAAAAAAAAGGAAATTTATCCTTGAAAAGCCTTTAAGTTGTCTAAAACCATGGTATGCATACATGTGTGTCTATGTGTGTATATACATATATTTTTTTAAGTTTTACGTACACAAGCTTATATAACACAGCTGGGAGAAGCACAGAGCTAGATAAAACTATGGAAGAGGAAAACCTATATATCCAAGTGTGGACATTTAAACCAACTGGCCTTTGAGAGAACTACCAAATCCACGAAAATGGTGAATGGGTTTACTCTATTTTGTCTTATTAACAACTTGCCTCTATTGTGCATTTACCATTACCAAGCACTATTCTCATTTCACAGGTGAAAAGTCCAAAAACCTTTCTCAAGATCACAGTTATTAAGTGAGAAAGGTGCAATGTGAGGGCTTGCTCTCATCCACTAGACTACTTAAGTCTTTATAACCTTAATCCTAACCAAGAAATTAGATCCCAAAGTAAACACTCATATTCAATGCCCATAAGATATGCTTCTACCACACACTGAAAATCCACTTCCCAACTTGAGCATTATAAAAAATTTCTCTTGCATGTTTATGATGTCCATGGAAGAGTAACAAAATGGAGCCCAACATCTACTCTGAAGCTTCATCTCTGAAATAATTATGTGAAATACATAAATATATGCAATGGCCCACTTACACTGCCTACAGAACACTAGGCAGTGGGCTTTAAAAGACATGAATTAGGGGCGCCTGGGTGGCTTAGTCGGTTAACTGTCCGACTTTCGCTTAGGTCATGATCTCGCAGTTCGTGGGTTCAAGCCCCGCGTCGGGCTCTGTGCTGACTGCCAGCTCAGAGCGTGGAGCCTATTTCAGAGTCTGTGTCTCCCTCTCTCTCTGACCCTCCCCTGCTCACGCTGTCTCTCTCTCTCTCCTAGAAATAAATTTAAAAAAAAAAAATATTTAAAAAAATAAATAAATAAATAAAAGACATGAATTAGGTTAGTTGATGGCAGCTGAATGACAGTGGTGGCTAAGATCATGAGTTCCATCATTCATCAATCAGCTTTCCTGAGCCTCCTGGCCACTTTCCACAGCCTCCAGCCCAAACACAAGGAAAGCCACCCCTGAGCTTACTGGAGGGAGGAGAAATGACCCACGCAAATTCATCCCTACCATCAAGAAAATGACAAGAGGGGGCGCCTGGGTGGCTCAGTGGGTTGAGCATCCGACTTCGGCTCAGGTCATGATCTCACGGCTCATGAGTTCAAGCCCCACGTCAGGCTCTGTGCTGACAGCTCAGAGTCCGGAGCCTGCTTCTGATTCTGTGTCTCCCTCTCTCTCTGCCCCTCCCTTGCTCATGCTCTGTCTCTCACAAAACCAAAATAAACATTAAAAATTTTTTAAAAAAGAAGGAAAGAAAATGGCAGAAGACCAGAACTATCCCCTCTCTGTAGGAAAAACACCTTACTCTCCCATTCCTTCCTTATATCCTTCTGCTTTATTTTCCTGGGAATTTGTGTTACAGGAGAAACTCTAAAGTGGTTATCAGTAGGTTCACTGGCCTAAAAAAATGAAAACTAAAAAATAGCTGAGGATTGCTAGAAGGACAACAGATGTATCTGTAAAACAAATCACATCTGTAAGCCAAAAAAGTTCTGCATGTTGAGAAATGATTTTACCCTTCTAATAAAGAGAACACCATCCCTTCCTCCACAATGGCATCCCTCACTTCACATTCAAATTCTAAACACTCTAAACATAATTTAAAATATTTTAATGAAGACAAATATTGTCACAACGAATCCACATTCATCTCAAGTTGTTGAATTATATAATAAGGCAGACAGGCTGATTAGAAAAAATAAAGAAATGAGTGGTAAGATCTTCATAGCTTCTCAAGGACTGCCCTGCTGCCACTTTTTCTTCCCAGTTGTCTACAATCAACCAGAAACTGGTCAGGAATTCTGTCAGTCCAGCACAGAAGTAGCTTTTCCTTCATCCCAGGGCTGACCTGTCTCATACTGTAGGCAAAGAGGAAGCCCATGTTATACTGAACTTCCCGAAGCAAAGACACAGTCTGGAGGTGATCTTCCTCTGTCTCACCACAAAAGCCAGCAATGAAATCGCTGCTGAGGCTCACTCCTGCAACACATGACAAGGGACAAACACGTCACTGCTGCTTACCTTCAAGAAAAGCCCTTTTGGTATTTATGCGTTACAGACAGAGAGAGAGAGGCAGCAATTGTAAACCTTCCCTGGAGCTACTGAGTCCATGTGCAAGTGACAGAACAGTCAGTATGGAATAAGGCCTGCTTATCTAGAATGTTACCATGTCAGAGCCTGGCTTCTCAGTCTATATGGCCCTCAGCATATTAAAATTAGATTTAAGGACACAGCAGGAACTCCATGTTTTCAAACAGGTTCTGCTTTTACTGGTGAAAACTTTGCAGCACCTCATATAAACATGTATTTTTGAAGCCAGTTTAATACAAAGTTTATTTAAGACCATAGAGAGACCTGAGTGCCTCAGTTGGTTAAGAGTCATTCTCGGTTTCAGCTCAGGTCATGATCTTGTGATTTCGTGTGTTTGAGCCCTGCATCAGGCTTCTCTCTCTCTCTCTCTCTCTGCCCCTCCTCTGCTCAAACTGTCTGTTTCTCTCAAAATAAATAAATACACTTAAAAAAAATTTTTTTTAAACCATAGAAACAATAACTACTAGTAACTAAATAATACTAAGTACTATATTTTCCTACCTATTTAATATATTTAATTTCCCCAACAATCCAATAACATACTATTAACTCTATTTTTTTAAATTTCTTTTAATGTTTTATTTATTTCTGAGAGAGAGAGAGAGAGAGAGAGACAGCGTGAGCAGGGAAGAGGTCAAAGAGATTACAGAATCTGTAAAGCAGGCTCCAGGCTCTGAGCTAGCTGTCAGCACAGAGCCCGACGCGAGCTGAAGTCGGACACTTACCTGACTGAGCCACCCAGGCGCCCCAACTCTATTTTCTTTTTAAGTAGACTCCACACCATACGTGAGGCTTGAACTCAAGACCCACAAGATCAAGAGTCACATGCTCTACCAAATGAGGCAGAGAGGTGCCCCTTATTAACTTTGATAGATGAGGAAACTGCAGCCCAGAAAGCCTCCACACTATCCTGCCCCTCCAAAATGAAAGTATTCATACATAATACAAGTTACAATTAGAAATTTGGAAATAAATGTAGACCTTGTCAACCAAATCTATTAAAAGATTACAAAGAAATTTTATTAGAAGGGAAAAGAGAAAAAGGAGTAAGAGTTATGATAATAGGAAGGGAATTACCTCTAAGTACACAGTTTTAAAGATATCAATTGCCCCCAAATCAGAACAAATGGAGACCATACTGTCAGCTAACAAAGAAGGAACAAGGTCTCTCTCATATGTTCAGAAACACAAACACTTTCATCTCTGGGACATCGGCCCAGTTAGTTGGTGTCAGACTCTTGATTTCAACTCAGGTCATGATCTCTCAATTTGTAAGATCGAGCCCTGCATTGGGATCTGTGCTGACAGTATAGACCCTTGCGTGGGGTCTCCCTCACTCTCCTCCCCCTGCTTGCACACGATCTCTCTCTCAAAACAAATAAATAGGGGCATCTGGGTGGCTCAGTCTATTAAGTGTCTGACTCTTGGTTTAAGCTCAGGTCATGATCTCACAGTTCGTGGGTTCAAGCCCCACATCAGGCTTTGTGCTGACAGGCCGGAGCCTGCTTGCGATTCCGTCTCCCTCTCCCGCTGACTCTCCCCTGCTCACTCACTATCAAAAATAAACAAACATTTAAAAAATTGTTTAACAAAATAAAAATAAATAAACTTAGAGAGAAATCTCTTTAGCACTGAGGCCATAAGCTGATCCACACTTTTGAGAATATCTAGCAAGACCAAGACATTAAAAAACCAGAAAGGAGTAAAGTGACAGAAAGAGAAAAATGAAGGGGAGGAACAAAAATATAAAAGGTAGTGCCACAGGCATTGCCTATATCTGAAAAAACACTGTGGTCTCTGGTAATGTGCTCAGTAGAATACATTTCTTAAACGTACCTGGAATAGATTCTCTGATGTGATGAATTAACTCCACATAAGCTTCTCTTGAATATCTGCAATAAGGAACAAAAAGAAAAAGCTTAAATGAACCAATCTTCTTTAAATGAACGTTGTAAAAAGATAACACTATGCATCCACATATAATCACTTCTTATCCACAAGGACAGTACAGTATAAGTTAAAGTATCCAAAACATCCCTTTTGATTCAAATCCTATACTGTAACCTAATCTAGAGCCCATGATTCTTTAGTTCAGGAACATACATTATTTTATTTTATTTTTTTAACATTTATTTATTTTTGAGACAAAGAGAGACAGAGCATGAGCTGGGGAGGGGCAGAGAGAGAGGGAGACACAGGATCCGAAGACAGGCTCCAGGCTCTGAGCTGTCAGCACAGAGCCTGATGCAGGGCTCGAACCCACAGACTGCGAGACCATGACCTGAGCAGAAGTCAGACGCTTAACCGACTGAGCCACCCAGGCACTCCAATAGCCTTTTTTTAATATTTATTTTTGAAAGAGAGAGAGAAAGAGAAAGCAAGCATGAGGAGGCGAAGGGCAGAGAGAGAGGGAGACAAAATCCAAAGCAGGCTCCAGGCTCTGAGCTGTCAGCACAAAGCCCAATGTGGGGCTCAAACCCATGAACCATGAGATCATGACCTGAGCCAAGGTCAGAATCTTAAGCAAGTGAGCCACCTAGGCACTCCAAAAGTCTTTTATTTAAGAAGTGAAGACAGATTAAACCTTTAAGAGGATCTCTAGGGGTGCCTGGGTGGCTCACTTGGTCAAGCGTCCAACTCTTTGTTTTGGCTCAGGTCACATCTCATAGTTCACTACTACCCTGTTTAGTACTTTGCACTAACAGCACGAGCCTGGAGCTTGCCTGGGACTGACTCTGTCTCTCTCTTTCTCTGCCCATCCCCTGCTCAAGCATGCATGCTAACTCTCTCTCAAAATAAATAAACCTTAAAAAAAGAAATAAATAAAGAACATAACGGGGCACCTGGGTGGCTCAGTCGGTTAAGCGTCTGACTTTGGCTCAGGTCATGATCTCACGGTTCGTGGGATCGAGCCCCACGTCGGCCTGTGCTGACAGCTAGCTCAGAGCCTGGAGCCTGTTTCAGATTCTGTATCTCCCACTCTCTCTGACCCTCCCCTGCTCACGCGGTCTCTCTCTCTCTCAGAAATAAATAAAACTTCAAAAAAACATTTTTTTAAAAAGAGGATCTCTAACACTGCCAATGTGGAAAACAAGACAAAGCACTAGTTCCACACAGCCTGCCATTTGTCAACTTATCCTTTCAGTCTTATCTCTGCAGTACATATTAGTCCCAAAGTAAGTGAACACAGAGACACATTTAAATTCTAAGACCTTTTCTTTTTTCTTTTTTTTTTTTAAAGTTTACTTATTTATTTAGAGAGATTGAGCACGCAAGTGAGGAAGGGGAGAAAGGAAGAGAAAGAATCCCCAGTGCAGAGCCTGATGGGGAGCTCAAACTCACGAACTGCAAGATCATGACCTGAGCCTAAGTCAGATGCTTAAATGACTGAGCCACTGAGGCATCCCCAACCTAAAAAACTTTAATGTTAAAAGCGAAAGGATTAAAATTTCAAAGAGTGTGCCACACAGTAGATACTTAATAAAAAATATACCAAACAAATGAAATGAATGATCCAGTCCTTAGTCTATACTTATGGAGTAAAGAGAAACAGGTTATAATGTCCATGGGTTTATTAACGTAACTTATTTACTGAGCAGCTACCACATGCCACACCCTATGCTGGTTCTCAAACACTTTGCGGTCCTTAAGAAAACATGGAAAGGTGCAGGATGTTCCCTCCCCCAAGCAAGTCTGACCCTCTCCGCATGGCCTCCAATACACGGCTACTTCCACTCTGGGCTGGTAGGTGGATCTGTTTACAGATGTTGTCTCTCTCATGAATCAGCTGCAGAACCTGATCAAATAGAACATATTAAAGCCATCAAAGTCTCACCAAAGAATCCTGCATAAAGGAATACCACTCCCACTCTTTCTTAACAAGCTAATTTTTTTTAAAGACCTTTAATGCTTTAAAATTTTTTTTAACATTTAGTTTATTTTTGAGAGAGAGAAAGGAAGACACAGTGTGAGCAGGGGAAGGGCGAAGAGAGGAGACACAGAATCTGAAGCAAGCTCCAGGCTCTGAGCTGTCAGCACAGAGTCCAACACGGGGCTCAATCTCACAAACCATGAGATCATGACCTGAGTGGAAATCAGATGTTCAATCGACTAAGCCACCCAGGTGCCCCTCTTAAGATGCTGATTAAACCAAACATATGAATTATCCAAATCCTTTACTTTTGCTCAAGAAGCCATGTTGTCTGTCCCAGACATTTCCCCTGATGGCATCTCTGCTTTCAAAAAGTGAAGCCAGCAAGCAGAGCTCAGATTCAAGCCACGGGCTGACATGGACAAGAAAGGAAAACTGGTATTTGTTTCATCTAACTTCCAGACTAATTAGCTACTTGAAAAGACACCATCAAGAAACTGGAACAATGTATTTGAAAAAATACATTGACAAAGGATTTGTATCAAGAAAACATAAAAACTCTTAAAACTCAATAGGAAGACATTCCGTGGAGAGAAAAAAGTAGCAGTGGGGCAAAAAGACAGATGTTTCACCAAAACAAAAACCTTTTAAAAAAAAAAAAAAAGGTTTCACATGTGGGCTATACATTCTATGCCTTACTAAAAGCATTTGGTAAGTACCTTCCATATAATACACCTATTCCCCAACAACCCAAAAACCAGGAGGTTATTATTAACCTCATTTTACAGATGAAGATGACAAGATAAAACAGTCAGACCTACTAAGAAAGCAATGGAAGAGCTAGGATTTAGCTCAGGTCCAAGTCTGGACTGTTTTCCACTGCAACATATGGCTTCCCTTTCTGTCCTTCCCATAAAACCTTGTAATAACACCTCTCTAGGCGCGCCTGGGTGGCTCAGTCAGTTAAGCGTTCGACTTCGACTTAGGTCACGATCTCACGGTTCGTGGGTTCAAGCCCCACGTCGGGCTCTGTGCTGACAGCTCAGAGCCTGGAACCTGTTTCAGATTCTGTGTCTCCCTCTCTCTCTGACCCTCCCCTGCTCGCTTGCTCGCTCTCTCTCTCTCTCTCTCTCTCTCTCGGAAATAAATAAAACATCAAAAAAAAATTTTTTTTTAAATAACACCTCTCTCTCCAGAGCCCGCATGGTCCCACAGGTGACCTTAATCTCCCAGTAACATCAGTCCTATCTCTATACTTGCGGTGAGCACAGCATAACATATAAACTTGCCAAAATCACAACATTGTACACCTGAAACTAACGTAACACTGTGTGTCAACTATATCTCAATTACAACAAAAAAAATTTTTTAAGTGCATCAGTCCTAACTGCCCTGACAGTGGTGGACTCTCACTCTGGCAGAACTAAAAGTCCAATATACCACAAGATCCCTAGTGAGATCCAAGGTCTGCTGTATCCCACTGGGCCCAGCCTTTGGTGAGCTTACGGATACTGGTAACAGCTCGGCACAGTTCACTGTTGATACTCACCTCATCAGGAAAGTCTTTGGGGTGGGGAGAAGTGAAACGGATCCTCATTTCAGGATCTACTCTGGAGACCTGATCCAGAAGGTGAGCAAAACGAAGGCCTCCTTGCTTGGGTTTATAGTTGGTGGAAAAGCCACGGCTGAGGCTGGTAGACACTGCATTGTTGAACTGGACCTCAGAACTGTCCCGAAAACTATTAACATTCTGACCAAGTAGGGTCACTTCCTTCAACCCCTGAGAAAGGGAAAATAAATACATTGGAAGCAATTTAAAACTTTTTTGGTAGTTTCCTGCCAAATCACTAATTAATATTAGTTCAACCCACCTAGAGCCATTCATAAATGTATTCTATTCTGTATTTAACCCAGTAATTTTGTATTTGGGGATCTTGTCTGAAGAACTGAACTTTAGAATAAAACTTTACAGGAGCACCTGGGTGTCTCAGTTGGTTAAGCGTCCAACTTCAGCTCAGGTCATGATCTCACAGCTCGTGAGTTCAAGCTCCACATCAGGCTCTGTGTCAGATTCTGTGTCTCCCTCTCTCTCTGCCCCTCCCTTGTTTGCACTCTGTCTCTCTCTCTCTCTCTTTCTCTCTCTCAAAACTAAATAAATCTTTTAAAAAAATTAATTTTTAAAAAAATAAAACCTTACAGGGGCACCTGGGTGGCTCAGTCAGTTAAGTGTCCGACTTCAGCTCAGGTCATGATCTCATAGCTCAAGGGTTTGAGCCCCATGTTGGGCTCTGTGCTGACAGCTCAGAGCCTGGAACCTGCTTCAGATTCTATGTCTCCCTCTCTCTCTGCCCCTCCCCTGCGCACTTGTGCATTCTCTCTTTCTCTCTCTCAAAAATAAATAAACATTTTAAATAAATAAATAAAACCTTACATAAAAATTAACCTTCAAAGCATTTTTTAGAATAACAAAAACCTGGGTGCAAACTCAATATTCAATAGTAATGGTTTATAACACTATAAAGCAAATTATGATGCCATTTTTCCAGTTGAATATTATATAATCACTGCCCATGAAGTATTCTTCCCAAAGTATTTAGTCTAAATTAAATTAAGCTTTTACATTTAACTTCCAGTTTATCAGAATTCAGAGGAATATTTTAAATGACAACATGAAGAAGCAATTAGACAAATCCAAATCAGATGTATTTGATCTCTTCAAAAACTTAATGCATCATTTAAAGCAAACAAAAAAAAAAAATGAAAGGGCTGTTTTAAATTAAGAGAGATTGAAGAAATATAAAAAATAAATAAAACACAAAGTTTGACTGGGTCTTGGTTTGAAAATAAAAAAGGAGTAAGATATTTTTGGGGGCGTCTGGGTGGCTCAGTAGATTAAGCATCTGACTCTTGATTTTGGCTCAGGTTATGATCTCAAGGTTATGAGATTAAGTCCCGTGTCTGGCTCCACACTGGAGCCTACTTAAGATTCTCTCTCCTTCCCTCTACCACTCATTTTCTCTCTCTCTCTCTTTCTCAAAATAAATAGACAGATAGATATTTTTGGACAATTAAGAAATTTTGAGAGGCGTCTGACTGGCTGAGTCTTAAGAGCATGCAACTCTTGATCTCAGGGTCGTGAGTACAAGCCCCACATTGGATGAAGAGATTACTTAAAAATAAATAAATAAACTTTAAAAAAAAGAGAAATTTTGAATATGAGGTACATATTATATAAAATTAGTTGTTAAGCTTTCTACATGTAATAATGGTATTATGAAGGGAAAAATTATTATTCTAAGAAGATGCGTACTGAAATATACAGGGTTAAGGAGCCTGATATCTACAAGTCACCTTGAAATGTTTCAAAAATATATATTGATACATCTATAGAGATATGAAGATGAAGCAAATATGACAAGTGTTATTAACTGTACTTACTATGCCAGTCTTTTAAATTGTTTGAAAATTTGCATTATAAAATTTTATTAAAAAAATAGTTGCTATAAAGACTATTTTTTATAACTTTATTTTGATGCAATTTCAAACTTACAGAAAAATTACAAGAATAGTAAAAAGAACTCCCATCTACTCTTTGCCCAGATTCACTGTTAACACCATGTGCCATCTGCTTATCATTCACATACTAACACTCAAATACACTCTCTCTCTCTGCACACGCACATGCAAGCACATATTTTTCTGAGACTTCTGAGAATAAGTTACAAACAACATACTCTTTTGCCCCTAAATATTCACATACTATAAATCAAATTTTCAACAACAATCCGAATATTGTCCTTTATAACTTTTTTTAATCTTTATTTAACAATGGCATGACTAAGGGGGTGTCTTAACATTAGAGGTGACTAAACAAAAAGTTTATTATAAATATATATATATCTCTAAGGAAAATACACACACATATAAAAAGATATTAACAAGGGGCACCTGGGTGGCTCAGTCTGTTAAGCATCCAACTCTTGGTTTTGGCTCAGGTCATGATCTTGAGGTTCATGAGTTCCAACCCCATGTTGGGCTCTGCACTGACTGTGTGGAGCCTATTGGAATACTCTCCCTTCCTCCCTCTCTGCCCCTCCCCTGCTCACGTCTCTCTCAAAATAAATAAATAAACTTTAAAAATAAATAAATAAAATAAATAAATGTCTCTATCCTGAAGACTGAAGAGTAAGTTCTGGTACGGTGGGGGAGGTGGAAGGGGAGAAGCGGACAACTTGAGCCCAGGAAGCACTTGGAGAGGTGGGGTATGGAGAATACCTCTACCTATGAGCAGCCAGGGACCAAATCAGGGAATTGAGGACTGGGGGATGGGAGATGAGAAGAGAGCACTGCCAGACTGTAAGAACTGCTGAGTAAAAACTGGAGCAGAGGCTGGCCTCCCTCAGTTCCTGAGCCAAGTAAGGAAGGAAACAGGGAGACTCTAGTAAAGAAAAGCTCCATATCCCTACCTACTGTTCTCAGGGAGAGCAGATCCAGGCCAGCTCCCAATAGGAGGAAAACAGCAATTATCTCCCCTCTGGCCTCTGATGAGATTCACTACCCTCATCTATTCTCTGTCCCTCAACCAGTGAGCAGGCTCTGTGATAAAATGAACAAGAGATTTGGGAGGCTTCCCTAGAATGGACAAATAAATCATTCTCTGAAAACTTACTGTATGCCAGGTAGTTTAAGAGCATTTAAACTGGGGCATCTGGGTGGCTCAGCCGGTTAAGCGTTCAACTCTTGATTTTGGCTCAGATCATGATCTCATAATTCATGAGTGAACTCCCATGTGAGGCTCTGCACTGACAGCACAGAGGCTGCTTGGAATTCTCTCTCTTTCTCTCTCTCTCTTTCTGCCCCCTCCCCTACACTCTTGTGCGTGTACACTGTTGCTCTCTCACTCTTCCTCTCAAGATAAATAAATAAACATTAAAAAAAATGTTTAACTACGGGGGTGGCTGGCTGGCCCAGTCAGTAGAGCATGTGACTTTTTTTTTTTTAATTTGAGAAAGAAAGGGAAGCTTAAGCAGTCTCCATGCCCAGCATGGAGCCCAATGTGGGGCTTAATCCCACAACCCTGGGATCATGACCTGAGCCAAAATCAAGAGTCTGATGCTCAACCGATTGAACCACATAGGTGCCCCAAAAATGTGACTTTAATCTTGAGGTTGTGAATTTGAGCCCCATGCTGGATGTGGAGATTACTTTAAAAACAAAACAAAAAACCATTTAAACTAGGACAATCCTTCCAATATACCAGAATAGAAGTTACTATGTTATCTTCTTTTCATAAATTAGGAAACTGTGTTTATAAGAAAAGTTAGGGGGCACCTGGGTGGCTCAGTGGGTTAAGCATCTGACTCCTGATTTCGGCTCAGGTCATGATCTCACAGTTTGTGAGTCTAAGCCCCACATTGGGCTCTGCACTGACACTGTGGAGCCTGTTTGGGATTCTCTCTCTCTCTCCCTCTCTCTGCCCTTCTCCTGCCCATGCTCTTTCTGTCTCTCTCTCTCTCTCAAAATAAGTAAACAAAACTTAAAAAGACATTTTTTTCATAAATAAATTACTAAAAGAAGATAGTTAAATGACCTGCAGCAGGGCACCAAACCAGAGAATGGGGCAGGCAGAATTCACACTCGGCCATCTGATTGTAAACTCATGCTCTCTCCATTCCACTGTGCTGCCTCCGAAGCAAACTTCACATGGGCAGCAAATCAAAGATGTTCAGCCAGGTATTTCTGGCCAGGTATGGTTCTAAACTTCTACAGCTCAGAGACAGGACAGGCAGGGAAACTAGAAAGGCTGTCCTCATCCTCCTAAAAACACACGTGTAAGATGAAAGCCGACAGAACTTTTCACCTGCTCAGAAAGCTTCCTCACTTCCTCTAGAATGGAAGCCACAGGCCGACTCCTCTCCCGGCCGCGAGTGAAAGGGACGATGCAGTAGCTGCACATATTGTCACAGCCTCGCATGATAGACCTGGGGGAAAGCACCAAAACTTAGTAAGAGGAATGGGACACCTCACTCCCACCCGAGGAGCAGGTCAGAGCTCCCTTGACATCACCCTCTGGCTCAGAATCCTCTTGGCACCATATTCACATTGGACCAATCAGACATTTTTAAGGCAGACAGTTTTTATCTTTAAAAATCCGTATCTACTCACAGGATATAAATCACATTGTAACTGGCAGATAGAGCTCCTCAAGTTACCCTGAGGGAGCACAGTGGTGAGGGAAGCGGTGCAGATGTACCAGGAGTGTACCTCGTAAATACAAAATGTAGCCATAAATGTAAAACATTATTTGAACTTTTTACATTTATACCAGGAAAAATATATATTTTATGAAGTGTGCGAGAAACTTCAGATTTAAAGCAAAGGATTTCATAGTTCTCACTCATTCCTGATCCAATTATGAAGTATCTAAGTTAAATCACTCTGTTCCATTTGCATCCTATATATGAAAACCTCAATCTACCTTAAGGAAATAATTATGAATATTAAAGATGTTCACTGAAGAACTGTTAAATAAATATCAGCTATTGTTTTTAATAAGCATTCCAACAAGTATGGGATGGCCATTAAAATGACAGAGGTTGACAAACTTTCCATAAAAAAACAGACAGTAAATATTTTGGGCTTCACAGACCATTTGGTCTCTGTCACAACTACTCAATTCTACCACTGTAGTGGCAAAACACCACAGACAATAAACAAATAGTATGGGCTATATTTCAAAAAAACTGCATTTATGAAAAACAGGCAGTAATTTTTTTTTGCCGATTTGCCAATCTCTATCATAGAAAATTTAATTAGATAAAATTAAAATATTTCACCATTTAAAATAAGGTTATAAAACCAAGTACATCAAGAGCCAACTTTCACAACACAGGTACAAAGCATACATACATAGGAAAGGACAGGAATGATATAGCGAGATGATAACAGTGTTCATTGTTAGGTGGTTGGTATATAGGTGACTCCTACTTTCTTATGTTTTTTCTATCTTTTCCACATATTTTTCAACAAACATGAACTATTTTGTCACCAGATTTTACTACTTTTCTTCAGTTAAAGTTCAGGGGAAGAAAAAAAGGAAAAGGAAAGCTGAAGATATTTTCTTCAGTAAAAAATTAGAATACAGAAAGAACAGTAGGAAAGATCCTGTATTTCATATATGAATGGATATGCAAAGAACATTCCTGGAAGGATTATGTAAGAAACTACTAATTCGGCTGCCTCTGAGGTGGCCTGAGAGAATGGGGAGGGAAGGTGTGAAGGAGTCTGACTTTATCAGTTTTTTGTTTATGTTTTGTCCTATATGCACGTGTTAATTTGTTTTAATGTAGCAAAATTAAAATTATTTTCAGAGTGAGAAAGGAGAAGTTCACTCCCTGTCTCTTGGGCAGCATCTTACACGAAGGCTGACGTAGCACTGGGGCTTGTCTGGACTGGCATAACATCAGCATAGGTCTCATCCAGAGAAAGCAGCACATTGGCAGCTTGTTGACCTGACTCGGCAACAGCCAGCAGCCGAGGAAGGTCCCGATAGGCATCTGGACCAGCCAAAATATCCACCATTTTCTCCCTGTTGAGGATCTCTTCCTTCAACCTCTCAGCCATGCAGCCTGGGGAAAGAAATAAAATAAGCACCTGCTTGTAAATGCATCCGGTCTCATGGTTTCTTCTCAGTACAGATTAGCTCGGGCTAGGATCAGAGACCAGGGCACAGAAACTTCTCTAAGATCTAGGATCATCGTTCCCCAAATTTGCCCCATACTTCCATAGCACTGGAACGGGCATTTCCCTAAACAAGAAAACCAAAGAAGCAAGCAACTAAAGAAATCAATTCAATGCTCAGAACAAATTAAACCATCATCCAGGGGCACCTGGGTGGTTCAGTCAGTTAAGGGTCTGACTCTTGATTTCAGTTCAGGTCATGATCCCATGGTTTGGTGAGTCTGAGCCTCACACTGGGCTCACTGCTGTCAGCACAGAGCCTGCTTCAGATCTTCTGTCCCCCTCAATCTGCCTCTCTCTCTCTCTAAAAAAATAAACATTAAAAAAAAGAAAGAACTATTCTTGGTTATACACCTATGTAGCAGTATCATTCACAATAGCCAAAAGGCAGAGCAACCCTAGTGTCTATCAACAGATATGGTATATACATAAAATAGAATATTATTCAGCCTTAAAAAGGAAGGAAATTCTGGCATATGCTAAATATGGATGAATCTTGAAGACACTGTGCTAAATGAAATAAGCCAGTCACAAAAGGACAAATATTGCATGATTCCATTTATATGAGTTACTGAGAGTAATCAAATTCATAGAGGCAGAAAGTACAATGGTAGTTGCCAGGAGCTAAGGTGAGAGGGGAAATGGGAAACTATTTAATGGGTAGAGAGTTGCAGTTGGGGAAGATGAAAAAGTTATGGCAATGGATGGTGGTGATGGCTGTACAACAATATGAATATTTTTTAAAGCCACTGAACTGTACATTTAAAAAAGGGTTCAGGGCACCTGGGTGGCTCATTCGGTTAGGCCCAGGTCATGATCTCACAGATAGTGGGTTCGAGCCCCATGTTGGGCTCTGTGCTTACGGCTAGCTCAGAGCCTGGAGCCTGCTTCAGATTCTGTGTCTCTCTCTCTCTCTGACCCTCCCCTGCTCACGCTGTCTCTCTCAGAAATAAATAAAAAATCAAAAAAAAATTTTAATAAAAAAGGGTTCAATTAATAAATTTCACATTACATATATTTTACCACAATAAGAAAACTAAATATTTTAAGGATTTCTGAAATTCCTAACAAAGATATAGCCAGGGGCTTCTATAATGAAGGAACTGAAATGAAACAAAACATTTCAGGGATACCTGGGTGGCTCAGTTGGATCAGTGTCCAACTTCAGCTCAGGTCATGATCTCACAGTTCATGGGTTCGAGCCACGCGTCAGGCTCTGTGCTGACAGCTCAGAGTCTGGAGCCTGCTAGGGATACTGTGCCTCCCTCTCTGTCCCTCTCCTGCTCACACTCAGTCTCTGTCTCTCAAAAATAAACGTTAAAAAATAAAAAAAGAAACAAAACACTTCAGCTAATCCTTCCATCTTCCTACATCACTTTAGTACATTAATCTAACAGGATATGCTCCAACTATGTTTTGACTCATCAAGAAGAATTAATTTAATCATTCCACAATGGATGGCCTGTTTTAAAGTTAGATACATTAAATTCTGGGACCAGGAGGGTACAGAATATTCATTTTTGAAATATGCTTTCCAGCTATCTAGATCAGAGCTGTCCAACAGAACTTCCTAAAATGGTAGAAATATTCTTTACCTGTGCTATCCAAACTGGTATGATTACTGAAAAGTCAATATGTGGCTAGTGAGAGTAAAGAAGTGAATTTTAATATTATTTAATTTTAGTTAAAGTTAAATAACCACATGTGGCTAGTGGCTACCATAGTGGTCAGTGCAGATCCAGACCCTCACGTGGCTATACCTCAGGAGTCAAGATGAAAGGTGCCTACACTGTAAATTCATGCTGCTCCTTCAGATGCCAAACTCTCTCCTGTCCATAACTCTGCCACCAACAGCCCCATTAGACTCTAGGAAGGACAGACCAAATTCTGAGCACCCATGACCTCAAGGCACTATGAAAAGCCCTTTTTATGAGCTTTATCTTATTTCATCCTACAGCCTTTGACATTAAGTACAAAGGTTACATGGGATGCATGACATTTCTTCAAACACTGGGAATCCAGCATCTGATGGAAACCCTAGCATGTAAAGCTACATGAAGGGGCACCTGGGTGGCTCGTCAGTTGAGCATCCAACTGTTGAGCTCAGCTCAAGTCATGATCCCAAGGTTCATGGGAGCAAACCCTACATCAGGCTCTGTGCTATTAGCACAGAGCCTGCTTGGGATTCTCTCTTTCCCTCTCTGCCCCTCCCCAATTTACACACGCATGTACTATCTCTCTCAAAATAAATAAATAAACTTAAAAAGAACATTTCAGGGCGCCTGGGTGGCTCAGTTGATTAAGCATCTGACTTCGGCTCAGGGCATGATCTCACAGTCCGTGGGTTCAAGCCCCACAAGCAGCTCTGTGCTGACAGCTCAGAGCCTGGAACCTGCTTCAGATTCTGTGTCTCCCTCTCTCTCTGCCCCTCCCCCACTCACACTCTGTCTCTCTTTCTCTCCCAAAAATCAATAAACATTAAAAAAACTTTTTTTTTAAATTTCATAGAGCCCAAGTGTCAAAACACAAAATCTCCAAATTACCGGATACCTAGAATCCCAATCCTCAGAGGCACTCGGGAACGGAGCCGTTTTGTCTTCAGGGCTTTAAGCTGATGTAAACGATTCCAGATGGTCTGTTCAGCCTTCTCCCTACAAAGATCAAAAGAGGTATAACTGAACCTGAAAATCAACTATACCACAAGTTAAAAGAGTAAGGCAATGGAAATAAAATCAAAAGAAACTTCAACCCTTTAAATGAATATCTACCTCCTAAGTTAAGGGAAGATAGGCAGGGAGCCAAGTGAAGCACCACTTGCTGTAATTCACCATCCCCGCAATGACACCCTTCCTACATATCTCCACACCTGACAAGCCTTTAAGTCAAACTCAGAACTGACTTCACAAAACCTGGTACAGGGTCTGTCCACCCTTTAACTGCCTTATAACAACACTTTTCCCCATACTTAGCAACTTCTTTTTTATTGTTTGGTTTTTTACATAGCACTTTCTGCCAGATGTGTGTCTCTGCCTTAGTTCCCATATCAGACTAAGCTCCTTAAAGCAAGTCTCCATGGAGAAGGGTTCGGTTCTCCCACAGCCATCTAGTTCAGTGTCTAACAGCAGAAACACTCCGAACAAAAATGGTGGATTACATTAACACTAAGGAAACACTAACACAAACGTGTCTTGTACACAGAAACAAGATAAGAAAAAGAATATGTTCACTTCTGATGGATGCCACCCTTCTCTGTTCAGGAGAACCCTGTCCCAGCCACTGACTACACCCTAAACCTCATGATGTGAGCTACACCCTAAACATGTGCCATTACCTGCAATAGAAACCTTAGGAAAAGCTGGGTGCCTCAACATATTCCTCATCTATAAAATGGGTTTGATAATAGCACCTACCACATAGGGCTGTTGTGAGAATTAAATTAGTTAGTGCATGTGTAGTCCTCAGCACAGGAGAGGATACACCGTACGTGCTCACCAAATGTCAGCCCAGTTCCACCACTGCTATCTCCACTGTTGTAAAACTGCAAGTCCACTGACTCATCTCCACAGGTAGGCCAGCCTGGCACTGTTAACTATGACATAAAATATATTCGCTCTCGGGGCACCCGGGTGGCTTAGTCGGTTAAGCGTCCGACTTTCGCTTAGGTCATGATCTCGCGGTTCGTGGGTTCGAGCCCCGCGTCGGGCTCTGTGCTGACTGCCAGCTCAGAGCCTGGAGCCTGTTTCAGTCTGTGACTCCCTCTCTCTCTGACCCTCCCCTGCTCACGCTGTCTCTCTCTCCTAAAAATAAATAAAACATTAAAAAAATATATATATATATATTCGCTCTCTAGGTAAAGAACAAACTCCTACCTGATAGAACATGTGACAAGGAGGATCACATCTGCCTGAGTGGAAAGCAAGGGAAAAAAAGGAAAATTATGATCTTTGAAAACTGCCTTGTAGAATCACTACCCACAGCCTTTTTTAAATTATTATTATTACTACTACTGTGGTAAAAACACACATAAAACTTACCATTTTAACCATTTTTAAGTGTACAGTTCAGTAACATTAAGTACATTAACACTGCTGTGCAATCATTACCACCATCAAGCCCCAGAATCATTTCACGTTCCCCAACTAAATCTCCTCTGTCGGGCACAGAGATTAAACACTAACTCCTCCATTCCCCTCCAACTCACAGCCCATTTTTAACTTAGTTCCTTGCCTAAAAATGAGCACCACCATAAAAGTTTCAAAAATAACCAGAACAAAAATATACCTCAGTCCCATGGTACACACTTTACTCAAGGAAACTCACTCTCACCAGGCCATACCCAATTTCTAAAGCTCCATCTAAGAACTGGCACAAATGCAGAGTCTCACCCAGGCCCAGGAAACAAGGGACGCAGGAAACGCTCGTACCTCTTGGAGGTTCCTGGTACGCAGGTAGCCACTCTTCTGTAAGACAGACCAGGCTATCTCTGTGTCATTCACATTCATCTGGCAGCCATAGGTCTCCAGGTAGACTGCAACAAGAGGAAGATTGCACAGTAGGCACACTAAAAGGGACTACATGTCTCAAAAGGTCTCTTTCCCAAATACCCCAGAAATATCAGAGGCAACTAGTTACCCACTAAGTCCCCAACTGCCTCAATTCTGTTTTTTCCCGTTGCTTCAATTCTAAGATACCATTAACTGAGGTACACAGGTACTGCCAAATTAATGAAAACCTTTCAGAACAAAAGAAATATGTGATATATACATACATAATAACAGGCCATGTCATTTAAAAACACAGGGAAGCATGCACCTGAGAATCAAGGCAATGTGGTTATAAAAACAGAAAAGAGAGAACTAACTGATAGAGTTATCAACTTGGGGGAAAAAGATTTTTTAAGTAGGCTCCATGCCTAGTGTGGAGCCCAGCACGGGGCTTGAATTCACAACCCTGAGCTCAAGACCTGAGCTGAGATCAAGAGTCAGAGGCTAAACGAAGCGAACCATTCAGGTGCCCCCAAAATAAGTTTAAATCCATTATATTCCTTCTTCTCAAAATAAGGTTCTTCCACCTCTGAAAGTAGCAGCAATGGCGGGAGGGTACACAAAGCCACAAAATAAAAATGAGGTAACTTCCTACTACAAATAAAATATAAACTACAAACAAACATCTTAAATGAAAGCAAACACTGTGGCACCTGGTTGGCTCAGTCAGTAGAGCATGGGACTCTTGAGCTCCAGGTGTAAGTTTGAGCCCCACGGTGAGGTAGACATTACTTAAAAATAAAACCTTTAAAAAAAAGCAAGCAAGCAAGCATGGCTGTATTATGATGTAAAACACATATGCATAAAGCTTCTTTTTAATGTCTGTTTATTTATTTGAGAGAGAGAAAAGAGAGAGAGAATGTGAGCAAGCATCCAGGAGAGGCAGAGAGAAAAAGGGAGAGAGGGAATCCCAAACAGGCTCTGCACTGTGAGCACAGGGCCCAACACGGGTCTCAATCTCATGACCCATGAGATCATGACCTGAGCTGAAATCTCAAGTCGGATGCTTAACCAACTGAGCCACCCAGAAGTCCCTTACACAAAGCTTTCAGAACAGCAAGGTGTGCCTGGGTGGCTCAGTCAGTTAAGCATCCGACTTCAGCTCAGGTCATGATCTCTCGGTTTGTGAGTACAAGCCCCGCATCAGGCTCTCTGGTCAGCACAGAGCCGGCTTTGGATCCTCTGTCTCTCTCTCTCTGTCCCTCCCAGGCTGGCTGGCTTTCGCTCTTGCTCTCTCTCTCCCCCAATAAATAAACTTTAAAAGAAAAAGAAAAAGAAAAAGAAAAAGAAAAAGAAAAAGAAAAAGAAAAAGACAAAGACAAAGACAAAGAAAGAGAGAAAAAGTATTTTAACTGACCGCAAAGTTTTTCTCAGAAAACCTTTATTTAAGCATAAAAAGTGAATTTCTACAGCACCAATTGTGAAAGGTGTCTAACAACTTAGATCTAAAAATCAGAACAGAGGCTCTAAGGTTTCCAAAAGTACCAAAGAGAGAACTCCCCAGGACTTCCACCCCCAGTCACATGGACCAAAAGTATGAGTTTCTTTATATTAATGTTACTTGATAAAGTCTGACAATTCCATTAGCTAGCAGCCTTCCCATTCTATTAACCCTGAAAAGCCGGGTCTGCAATGAAAGAACAATTAACAATCAGGTCATGGATGCTGGAAAAGAGCAAAGCAGGAAGTCCAAAGGGAAAAGAAAAGTAAAACCAACCTTTTCTCTGCCTCCCAGAAAGTTCATCCACTGTGAGATAGGGAGGTGGGTCCTCCACATCTGGCTTCTCTTGAGGAGCTAAAGCACTTCTTAAAAAATGCTGAAAAGTCGGGCCAATGGCCAGCCTAGAGCTGAAATCCTTCCGAACTCCATCTTCCTGCTGTCTCTCTGGACTGGGACATGTGGTTCCGTGGACACTACTATGCGCCCTGCAGGTCCTGAGCAGCACCCAGGACATGGAAGCCAAGGGTCCCCATCTCTGCACTTGCAGGACACACTGTAAAGGATGCATGGCACTAAATCAACAGCCCAACGTCTGCAAAAGAACAGGCATCCCAACATTTACTGAACACGACATAACAGGGCAATGCTATAAGCACTTCCAGTGTATTAATACATTTAATACACAAAACCCAAGAAAAAGATAGTCTTAATATTATCCCTATTTTATAGCTTAAAAAAAAAAAAACTGGGGCAACTTACCCAAGATCACACAAAGGAGTGCCAGAGATAAGATACAAATCCAGGCAATTTTCAAAACAAAGGGGTGGTAGAGATCAGATGAGACGGTGTGACAAAATAACAAAGTAGCATCTTGTGCTACGAACAGCTTCAAGGGCTTTCCATGTAATAATGCATTAAATCTTCACAGAAATCCTCAGCCAAATAGACATAGACACAATTACTACCCCCATTCAGAGATGAGGAAACAGACACAGAGAGGCTGAGCAACTTACCTAAGCTCCCACCTAAGCAACAGAGCCAGGACTCAGATGAAGGTCTATACAGCTACAAAGCCCATTCCCCCAGCCACCTTGTTACAATGCCTTCTATTTCTATGAAAACCACTGTCTGGAGGCATCTTCCTTTGAGTTCCTTCAGATGGAAAGTATCTAACATGGGGCACCATATGTCTGATCAGTGACTCCTCCCACCCTCCAAAGAATCTCAAATTACTGCCTTCACAGTTTCTACCCAGGCCCCCTCACACATGGCTGGGGGGATAGAAAACTGCAAATCTTTATACAGGGTGATTTGCCACTTTGCATCAAAATTACACACTCAAGGGGCGCTTGGGTGGCTCAGTCGGTTGGCGGCAGACTTTGGCTGAGGTCATGATCTCACAGTTTGTGGGTTCGAGCCCTGCGTCTGGCTCTGTGCTGACAGCTAGCTCAGAGCCTGGAGCCTGTTTCGGATTCTGTGTCTCCCTCTCTCTCTGACCTCCCCTTCTCACGCAGTCTCTCTCTCTCTCTCAGAAATAAGATGTTTAAAAAAAATTTTTTTTTTAATTACACACTCAAACCCTTTGACCAAGCAGTTCCATTCCTAGATAATTTATCCTACAGACGCAGTCTTACATGTACAAAATGACCCGTGTATAAGGATATTCAATGCAGCAGTGTTTCTGATAGCAAAAGAATGGAAAAGATCTAAATGTCATCAAAAGGGGACTGCTTAAATAAGACATGGTACATCCTTACAAGGGGATAAAATGCAACTGTCGGAAATTAGGCTGAATCTATACACAGCAATAACAAGAAAGCAAAGTGCTCAGTAGTCTCTATAATATGCTATACTTTAATCTGTGGGGGAAGGGAGGAATATGAAGGTCCATGCTTATAAATGAGCACAGTATCTATAGAATGCATAAGAAACAGTGGCTGCCTCCCAGGAAGGAACCTAGGTGACTCGAAGCAGGAGACGGAGACATACGTACTTCTCCCCGCATGTCCTTAGCCTTCAGGGTCTCCAGCCTGGCTGCCTCACTCCAGTCATACCAGACATTTCTGTACTGATCTTCACTAGCTTCTAGGCTTTCACACACGCTGTTCTCTCTGCCAGTATATCTTCTACGTACTGACTCAGCCAACTCCTATGCTTTTTAGACCTGTTTCCTCCTGGAAGCCTGTATCCTCAAAGTCAAAGCTGCAGTCCTCCTCTGGGTTCCCAAAGCCTCCTTCGAATCTCCAACTCAAGACCCATTACGCTTTGCTGTTAATCACTACCTACACTTCTCCCATCCCTTGCAGGCAGAGAGGTCCCTAAAAGTAGGGAGCAAGTCTCATTCATTTCTACATCCTAGTGTCTCCCACCATTCAGTAACGGCCTTCTGGCAGGAGCTGTACATGTAAAACAAGTAGACTTGGCCGGTGACCTCTTGAACTTGATCACCTGCCATATATGCTACCAGCACTTTAGGCAGGAGCAATGCTAACCTATACTCAAGTATCAGAGAACAGCAGGCATTTAGTGGGAGCCTTAAGTCACTCTTCTCTGCCCCTTACTTGCTGTGTGACCTCAGGCAAGTCAAATTCCCATCTCTGAGCTGCCAATTCCACATCTGTAAAAAAAAGGATAAAAAGTAGTACCTATGTCCCAGAGGCATTGTGATGATTAAGGAAATATTAAAAACCCAACTGACTTACAGTAAGTCTTCAGTAACTGCACATTTGCAGCCCACACTCCCCTTCCTGGGAGGTATAGAGCAATACAGTTAAGGGCATGGGTTCTGGGCTTGTAGTCTGACCCAAATGCAGCCTAGCCGGGTAACCCTGGGCACCTTGGCTGCTCTTTAAACCCTCCATTTCTCTGCTGATGCATAGAAGCACATGTACCCCAATGTTCACAGCAGCACTCTCAACAATAGCTAAAACATGGAAGAGCCTAAGTGTCCATCAACGGACAAATGGATCAAGAAGATGTGGTTTATCTATACCATGGAATACTACATGGCAATGAGAAACAATGAAATCTGGCCATGTGTAGCAACATGGATGCACCTTGAGGGTGTTATGCTTAGTGAAGTAAGTCAGGCAGAGAAGGACAAATATCATGTTTGCACGTATAGGAGGATTAGGAGGAACTTAACGGAGGACCATGGGGGAGAAGAAGGGGGGAAATGGTGGGGGAAAGGGAGAGAGGCAAACCATGAGAGACACTTGAATGCTGACAAAAACTGAGGACTGATGGATGGGGGGGGGGGGAGATGGGCATGGAGGAGGGCATTTGTGGGGATGAGCACTGGGTGTTATGTCAAACCAATTTGACAATAAACTATTTGTAAAAAAAAAACAAAACAAAACTCTCCATTTCTCAACAATGCCTATCTCAAACGTGATAACGCAAATAAAATGTCTGCACAACACAATGTAGGGGGTAGGTAGGGAGTAAGGCTCAAAAAGTGGTAGTCGGCAATAACGTTAAGACGGCAGCCTCATCTCAACAAAAGTGAACCATAGACGATAAAACACCCCAAACATTTTGTCGGGTAGTTCAACGCTTCAGGCGCGGTGCTGGCCCTTCCCACGGACTACACTATTTAATCCTCACAGCAGCAGTGTGGAGCAGGTTCTAGCATCCCCACGTCACAGGTGACGAGACTAAGGCTCGGGGGCAAGGGAGGTGACTCGCCCAAGGTCACAGGCGAGCAGGCAGCGGGGCTGGGCGCGAGCCCCGACAGCCTGACTCAAGGGCCCGCGCCGTCTCCCCTTGAACGCCGCGCACCTGCGGGGCCCCGCCGCCCTCCTGCCCCAAGCACGGGCCCCCTCAACCCAGGCCGCTCACCTCCCGCAGCCCGAAAGCCCAGCATCCAGCAACAGACGCTCCCCTCTGGCGGCTTGGGTCCCCGCCTCAGCCTTCCGCCTCCGCGGAGCGCGCGCACGAGCGGCTTCCGGTCCGCCGCGGCTTCCGTCCCCGCCGGTGGAACGGAAGTGCCTCCCTCTGTGCGGGCCGGGTGGGGTCCCGCTCTCGGCCTTCGGGGACCCCTGTGGTGCTGGTGCTGACCCGTTAGGTCGCCGCTGCTTGGCCTGTGGCAGCCCAGCGCTCGGAATTGAGTGAGTGAGAGTGAACGTGCCGTAAGTGTAAAATTTACACCAGAGGGGCGTCTGGGTGGCTCGGGTTGAACATCTGACCCTTGATTTTGACTCAAGTCATGATCTCATGGTTCATGAGGTGGAATTCGACATCGGGCTCTGCGCTGTCAGAGCCTCTGCTTGGGATTCTCTCTCTGTCTCTCTGTCTCTGTCTCTCTCTCTCTCTCTTTTGTCTCTCTCTCTCTGCCCCCTAAGCCCCCCAAAATAAATAAACATTTTTTTAAAAATACACACCCGGTGTGGAAGAAAGAGTGCAAAATACCTCATCAATTATTTTTATATTGATTACGTGTTACAATAATATTTGGGATATAATGGGCTAAATAAACATAAAGTAGCTTCACCTGTTTCTTTTTACTTTTTTTAAGTTTACTTATTTATTTATTTTGAGAGAGAGAGAGAGTGGGGGTTGTGGGGGGAGCAGAAGGAGAATGAGGGAGAGACAGAATCCCGAGCAGGCTCCATGCTGTTAGCGCAGACCCCACACAGTCCTGTCTCAGGAACTGTGAGATCAGGACTTGAGCTGAGACAGAGTCTGACCCTTAACCGACTGAGCCACACAGGCGCCCCTCTTTTTACTTTTTTTACTGTGGCTACTGGGAAATTTTAAATTGTATACTGGTGAGCACCTGGGTGGCTCAGTCCGCTAAGCGACCAACTTCCTCTGAGGTCATGATCTCATGGTTTGTGGGTTCACTGCTGTCAGCGCAGAGCCTGCTTCAGATCCTCTATCCAGGCTCTCTCTGCCCCTTCCCCTCCTCTCTCTCTCTCTCTCTCTCTCTCTCTCAAAAGTAAATAAGCAGTTGAGCCTCTGACTTCAGCTGAGGTCATGATCTCAGTTTGTGAGTTCAAGCCCCACATTAGGCTAGCTGCTGTCAGCGCAGAGCCCACTTCAGATCCTCTGTCCCCTCTGTCCTCTGCCCCGCCCCGCTTGCACTCTCCCCCAAAATAAATATTTTTTAAAATATATTCTAAAACATAATAATAAAATAAATGTTTAAATAATAAATAATTGGGGCGCCTGGGTGGCTTAGTCGATTGAGCGTCCGACTTTCGCTTAGGTCATGATCTCGCGGTTCGTGGGTTCGAGCGCCGCGTCGGGCTTGTGCTGACTGCCAGCTCAGAGCCTGGAGCCTGTTTCGGAGTCTGTCACTCCCTCTCTCTCTGACCCTCCCCTGCTCACGCTTTCTCTCTCTCTCTCTCTCTCTCTCTCTCTCTCTCTCTCTCTCTCTCCCCCCTAGAAATAAATAAAACATTAAAATTTTTAAATAAATAAATAATAAATAATTTGTGTGCGTGTCTCACGTACTCTTTCTATTGGACAGCACTGTGCTAGAGGTTAAAGACTTCCCATTCCAGCCTGAACCCCTACCTTGAGAGGGTGGGTACAGATCCATAGTTCAGCTGCCTACAGGGGCATGTCCTCTTGGGTATCTAGTGATCAACTCTACCTTAATACGGAACTCTTCATTTCCACACTCACAGTCTCACCCAAAACCTGTTCTTTGCCAGTGTACCCCATCTCAGTACATGACCCAACCATTTCCCAGTTGCACTAGGAGAAACTGAGATGAGCCCATTTTATTTCCTGTCCTTTAACCTCCAGATTCAATCTGTCAGCAAGTCCTGCCAGCTCTAACTCAAAAATGTCTCCTACTTCCTGTGCTATACCTCTAACCGAGGCCACCAGCATCTCATCAGAAATACTACAATGGCCAGCAAAGTGGTGTCCATGCTTCTGGCCCTGCCGTTTTCTCCTACAGACTTCTCCCCATACTGAGCCTAAAAGAATTTCTTTGTGTTTTATTGACTAAGATCACGCCACGCCTCTGCTGAAAACTCTGGCTGGCTTGTCATTGCCATGGCAATAAAATCGAGATTTCCTACAGTGTCCTAGGGCCTGCATGATCTAGCCTCTGCTTACTCTTACTTCCCCAACTTGCTTCTAACATGTTCTCTCTAGTTGACTATCCTCAATTCTGTAACTTTATTTTGCTCCTTTCAGTAAATACTCCAAGCACATGTTTATGTCAGAGTCTACTTACATTTACCTTTCTGGAATGCTTTTCCCCCAAATTGTTTCTTGGCTGGTCCCTTCTCATTCTTCAGTTCTCAACTTAAATATCGGCTCTTCAGAGAGGCCCTCCCTGACCACACCTTATAACCTGCTCCCATCACATCACATCATTTTCTTCACAGTATGTGTCACTATCCAAAATGATGGCATGGTTTACTTGCCATTGCCTGAGAGCAGGGATACACTGTGTCTTATTCGTTACAACATCCCCAAGATCTAGTAGAGAGTCCAACTCATGGAAGAACTTAGTAAATAGTTGTTAAATGAATAAATGATTGCATTATATTTTAGTTCGGGTTCTCCAGAAACAGAGCCTGAGACAAGGATTTGAGTGCAGGTAGGTGGTCTCAGGAAACACTCACAGCATAGTCAGGGAATGAGACAGGGTAGGGGAGATAGCCAATAAAGAACGTTACCATGGTGGGCATCTGGGGTGTAATTCTGTTGGGGAGTTCTGGGAAACAGTGTAGTACACGTACCTCAGAATTATTTCACCCAAGGGGAGAGGATAGAGCGGTTATATGCTAGCAGCCATGGTGGAAAGATGCTCCTATGTATTTTAGTTCCTCAGCACTTCAGCTCTGTCTGTGCAGGAATATCTGTGGTTTGGAAGAAAGCTTTGTGTCGATAAGATGTAGACACTGGCCCCAGCACTCCGGATTGTAAGGCTCTGGGGCCCTGACAGCCCCTGCTGCAATGACTTCTCTAAATCCTCACTAGAACTTTATGAGGTTATTATTGGCACACTTTAAGGCAAGAAAAGTGAAAATACAAAAGGTGGTCACGTGCTGAAGCTCACACAACGACTGCATGGCAGAACTGGGATCCACTCAGAGGCCAGGCCGATCCTAAAATGCTATTCTTACCATTGACTGACCAAGTGAAAGTCAGACTGGCTGGGTTCCCGTTGAGGTTCTGACCCTCACCGTGGTAGTCAAGGCCAAGTTAGTCACCCCTGCTGATTCCCAGTTTCTTTACCTATAGAGTGGCTGCAATGTGGAGAACACACTGCTTTGGGGGTAAGAGGATGGAGAGACAAATAAGGAGGGCATTTAGGAGCGTGTGGCAATTGCCCAAAGATTGTGGAGTCTTGGACCATTGTGCTCTCTTGGGGCAGTAAGGATGATGGAAACAAAGCTGGATTTCAGGATTTGAGATATACAGGAAATAAGCTCACGCTGTCTCCTTAGATGACTGCTGGGTACCAATTCAGTCAAAAATACAAAGGAAAACACAGGCCAAAAAGTATATTATGGTTCTTGATTTTTACTGTGGTTCTCCAGATAACCTAGGATGTGATCTGATCATTTGGGGTAACAGTACTGTGAAAGTATACCAGAATTCCTGGAAAATGCTTAAACTCTAGAGACAAGTTCCTGGATACTCTGGGATCTAAAGACCCCAGATGGAGAAATATTCAGGTTTACTATCAAGTTGCAGAGGGAAGCTGTCCTGTCCTAATATGGCCATGGAGCAGGAGATGCAGGGTCACCTGTGCCACACAGAGCCCCATCATGGTGGCAGCACCTGTATCTCAATGTGAGTTATGTTGAGAGACTGTCAAGGTCAGACCCTTGCCCTTCCCTGGTGACACCCCCAGCCATGCCCAGCTTAGAATAGTCAAACTGCAGACAGCATGCAGCCCCAGGAGCATGAAAATAAATGCTTGTTGGTTGTGGCCACTGAGGTATTTTTTTCCATAGCATTATTGCGGCCGGAGCTGAATTTTAGCATACTCCTTTAGATGAACACCAGCTTCCATGTCTTTTCTGAGGAACCTCCTGTAAATCCCTAGAGTCGGTCAGGTTCCCACTGGCCTCTCTGCTATTTCCACGTCTGCCCAATCTGAATCACACATTTGGCTGTGGGAGACCCTGCTGAATTTCTGTTCCCTGTGCATGGGGACCTGTCAGTCTTAGCTACTTAGTCCAACACAATAGCCACCAGCCACATGTGGCTACTGAGTACTTGATATGCAGTTAATTTAATTGTCATGAGCACACTCAAGCCGCCCTATGGTTGGCCCAGGTGGTGAGGAAGTGAAGCTTCCTGCCCACAGCCATATGTGTGAGCAATATTGGAAATGGGTCCTATAACCCCATTCAAGCTTTCAGATGAGTGCAGCCCCAGCCGATAACTTGATTTGCAACCTTGTAAAAGCCCCTGAATCAAGGACATCCCAGCTTAGCCTTTCACAGATTCCTGATCCACAGAACCTAAAAAATAATAAACGTTCACTGTTTTCAAGCTGTTAGATTTGGGAGTAATTTGTCACACAATAATAGATAACAAACAGATTTTCTTTATGGCCCTGTGGTTAAAGGTCTGCTCTCCTCCAGGGAAAGGAGCCCCAATCCTGGGTCTGGTCCGTCTTGGGATGGCAGGGGCCACCAAAGAGTCCAGAGGCCAAGGCACAAACCACAAACACTAGGCCAGGTTGCCTATGTACTCACAGGCTGTTTATTTATCCAAGAGTAAGAAGGAGAGAGGATGAAGAGAAAAACCAGATGCCCCAAGGTGGTGGAGCTGAGGGGAGAAGTGAACAGAAAGGTTCCTTCTCTTTCTCTTGCCATGGACCCCAGGGAACTCCAGCTTCAGATGAGGCCTCTGAGGGTGGCTTAGGGGCCTTGGAGAGGCCTGGCAGTTGTTGTCTGGGGTCAGGATCCCCACAGGGGCAGGTCCCAGGCTCGGAATGGCTTTTGTGTACAC